ATTGGTGGCACTAAACAAAAACAAATTGATTTATAATCTCACAACCTTCACCTTTTCGACATTCTGAGACCCAAACAAATTCAGCGCTTTCTGTGCTTTGATTAACTGTTGTTCTGGCTTTATTTTAACTTTCAATGTTGTTTGATGAACGCAATTTGATAACTTTGTCCGACACGCACCAGGTAAACCATTTACGCATAAAAAAGCTATATTTAATAACGAAGGATTAAGGGTTTTGTTCAACATAGTTCCGCTAGGTATTTTAAATCTAGACTAAGCGATGCCGGTACTTAACGGTCGCTGCGTTTGAATGGATAATGAATTCTTTTCATCTTTTGTGTTGGTCAATAATGAAAAGCTATATTTAGTAACGAAGATAAAGGGTTTTTGTTCAACATAGTTCCGCTAGGTATTGTGAATCTAGACTGAGCGGCGGCTGTACTTAATGCCCATAATAAATAGACGCCTAGCACGTATGATGTCGTTATGTAAAAAAGAACGGTCGACAATGCGCAATAAGTCAATTAACATTTATATGGGTCATTACTGACGCCCTAGCATGGAACTCGTCAGCAAAAGTACATTTTCAGGTAAAAGTATTGTAATTTTATGAGGTTTAATGTTTAGTTTAAAAAAAAATACGTTTATATTTTATTTTGCATCAAAATATCGTCTTTTTTATATAAGTCAATTCGTGGTATTGATCAATTATTTGATATTAAATGATATTTGGTATACTAGTTCTTTTATCTGTACTTTATTTTGACATGTTTAATTATTTTTTTTTCACTATATTGTTCAAGCAGTTATTTACTTAACTGCTTAATAAGTTTTGACAATTTACTAGGGTTAATACGGATATTGAAGTCTTGTGTTTGTTACTAATTTTACTCTTTCAAAGTTAATGAGAAGCGTATGCATGATTGTGATTTTAACTTCGTATTAGTCGTAATTCAAAATGCGGCTTACGACATTCATTTGAATACAAAACACGGTCATGCTGGTGCAGAAACACAGTTTACGTTTCAGTGCTTTCAGTTCCGGTCCAATGGCTTTTTTGAATAAGCAGTAACAGTGTGGTAAAATGCTTATCCAACGATATCAAGAGTATGAGTCGATAAATTAATGACTGGAAAATCAATTTTAGAAATTCCGTAACGTACTTCGGTGTCTTTAACTCGAATTACTCAAAAGCGATAAAAGATAGACCATAAAAAATATATTTTATCCAGGTGTGCGAGACATCAATGGTAAAAGCTCTAACGTTTTTATTGAACTTGTGTGCAATTCGGGGTTAAAAATCGCTCTTGCGTAAATGAAACGCTTGAAAATCGAAAATCGAGAACCCCGGGTCAAAACGAAATTTTGGTGATTCTAATCTTGAGACGACTTTATCTCAAAAAATTTGAGCGTAAACGTGCCCAAACGATGAAAACCCGGTTAAAGCTTAATTTCTCTTTCAAGTAAATGATCACAGACAGTATTCAAAAGGTGTATTTTCATTCAATTCAAAATATTTACATGTTTCGTATACATAAGGTATATATTCAATTCAAAATCAATTTCGTAAGAAATAAAAGGATCTGAGTTGTTCATTACATCACATACAATTTGACCAGTTGTAAGGCAAAACCGTGTTTAAAATATTGCATTCAGTTGACCGAGCAATGCACTAAAAGGAACCTAATTAAGGGGTACACTATATGCAAGTGTTAAAATATGTTAATGCGTGCGTAGCCATTTCTGGTTTGATGAGTTTTACTTGAACGTCACTGCGTTTGAAAGGATAATAAATTTCTTTTGCACCTTTATGATAAATGAAAAGCTATATATTAGTAACGAAGGATTAAAGGGTTTTTGTCAACATAGTCCGATAGGTATTGTGAATCTAGACTGAAGCGGCGACTGTACTTAATGCGTTTTCTTTCATTGACACCCCAATGGGCTATGAAATTGCTCGCGTTGTGGATTGGCAATATCGCGACTAAAAATAGATCGGACATGCGCATTTACACGGAACGGCGACGCCAAACAGTCATTTTCCTACTAGAATGTGGAAAGAAACAATAATATTTTTACAAAGGTTATAAAATATTCATTTGAAACATATTAAATTTTTGGTTTATTTAAATTAAATTAAATGTAAGCAACGTATCAAAATTACAAACATTCTTTTATCTTAATGATGGTATATTAAATTCCGTCTAAGGGCCCAGGACCTGACTACAAATGTGTGCGATTCAAGCCCTAGATCGGATATACAAGTCAGATTCGTATACTTCCGGGATATTAAAAATAAATTTCTAAAAATAGGCGAATGATCACATTCTAAAAATAAAACGATGATGTCACTCTAAATATAGAATCCAATATGGTGCCGCGCATGCGCAGTCGTTGCGCCAGACCGATGTCTATTCTACTACTATGTATTAAAAGAAGTAAAAAAATGCATAATTGGTTAGAGCAAAGCACTATAAAACACATAATGAGTGAGATATTTTTTACATTATCCTTTTGATTATTTGATTAACTATTATATCTTATCCTAAAGGTTGAAAGAGGTCATTATTCTCATAATGGTTGAGAGCAAATCACTATAAAACACAATATTAGTGAGAGAACTATTATATATTCTTTAAAGGGTTTAGAGAGATGTCATAATTTATCCTAGTTGGTGATAACAATGAATCATATAATACTTAATGAGTGCGAAAATTATCAGATAATAATACTAAGGGTTGAGAGAGAAATTATTTTTGTTCCTAATGGGCAGGAGCAAGTCATTATTGGGTGAGAGCAAAGCACTATAAAACTTATAATGAGTGAGATAATTCTTATAAAAAACAACATGGGGCGGTGCCAATTTTGACCCTAGGGTTTTTATTTGAACACACTTGATAGACACCCATTATAAGATTTTCATGCCAAATATCTAAACACTAGCCCTTTTGGAATTTCAAAATTATATTTGATTTAGTTTTAACTATTAAAATATATACAAAATAAATTGCCCCCAGGGACAGGGTCAATTTTGACCCTAGGGATTTTATTTGAAGAAATATGGAAGACATCCAATAGAACATGTTATCTAAGCTCTACTTCTTTTTGTTTTTCACACGGACATTTTAAAGTTTTTACTATATACAAATAAGAAAAAATAATGACCCCAGGGGCTGGCAAATTTTGACCCTAGGGCTTTTATTTGAAAGAACTTGGTAGACATCCTCTAGAACATGTTTCATGCCAAATATCTAAACTCTACCTTTTTAGATTTTCACAAGTAGGTTTTTTAAGTTTTTACTATATACATAAAAAGAAAATCAATGACCCCTAGGGCGAGGCCAATACTTACCCTAAGGAATTTATATGAACAAACGTTGGTAAAGTCACGCTAGAAGATGTGTCATGTTTAATATTTAAGCTTTACCACTTTTTTATTTTCACAAGATGATTTTTTAAAATTTCTTACTATATAGATATACGGAAAATCAATAGCCCCTTGGACGGGGCTACTTTTGACCCTAGGGCTTTTATTTGAACAAACTTGGTAGACATTGACTAGAAGATGTTTCATGCCAAATATCTAAGCCTTTGCTTTTTCTTTTTATTTACAAGAAGATTTTTTAAGACTTTTTTTTAAAGATTTTTGTTAAAAAAATCTTTCGGTTGCCTTGGTAACCAGAGTTATTTATGAAATTTAATTCTTTGAACAACTATGGTAGAACTTCATGCAAGGAACATCCCTGCAAGATTCAACAAATTTTGCCGAGTGGTGTAGGAGGAGAAGTTGTTTAAAGAAATAGTTGATACATTCACGAACGGACGATGGGGACAATGGGCCTTCACAAAAGCTCACCCTGAGGACATTGTCTTCGGGTAAGCTCATACGTATTTCCTGTTGGAAGGGGTTATATGGTTGATTATAAAGTGTAAAACGTTGACATTTCATTTCAAGGCATTGCCGAGGTCCGTCTTTGTTAATGCTCGACTATAAACTATTCGGTAAATAATGCTACAAAATTAAGTTATTTTAGATGGCATAACACTCATGCTATGTGTCATCTTATAAAAGAAAATTATGTTATTTCAATTAATTGGTCTAGACACATTGTGCCTTTTTAGTAACATATGTGCCTTTGCCTTACAACATATATGATTTTAGCATACATATATGTATCATGTCCCGTTAACTTTCATACTAAATTGTAGGCTGAACGGACAGAAAGGCACCGAAAGCGGTAAATGTATGCATCACATACATGTAGAATGTGAAAAAGGTTAAATGTTTATACATCATATCATAAGATAAAAAAGGTTATGATTATGTTAATAGCAACATTATCACGTAACAATTATTTGATATTTTAGACGTCAAATTAAAATCTGGAAACTAGCTATCAATTAAATAAAAATTATGATCTCTATCACACTTATAATTTGTCTCATAACAATTTTGCTGGTAATGGATTTACGTGATATTAATAATATTTCAGCGGTATTTATTATTTGTATCACATTGATGTTTGTCTTGTCATTGGAGAGATGCCTCATTCAAATAAAACCAAAGAACAAGGTGTTTGCTTTTTTGAATACATAATGTTACGTTCAAAGTAGCACTGGATAGTGAAACTTTATAGAGTTGATTGTATGTCAAATAATTGCTCTCTGACTATTTACAAATTTATGTTATTGCAATTAAAACAGATAAGCTGACGCCTGTGTATCATCTTTACAGAAATTACGTATGAAATGGTGAGCCATGCATTTATCAACATGCCTTCCTAAACTTTAAAGGTAAGCACAATCAATTTTTATAGATGAAATATTATCCGTATTGACGATTATATTTCAATTTAATGCGTGATTATATCAATATCTTCATTGTTATTTCCATTAATGATAACTTTGGAGAAAATATTTAATATACATGTAAGTGGTATGAAAAGCACTAAAGGTTTCCAAAATTGTTGGTAAGCATTCATAAAAATTGTTTCAGTAATTCAATATACACTGATATCCGGTAGATAGGGTAGGGGAATAAAACACTTATTAAAACCTGCTGTTCCAGTTCCTTTGTCTATATGGAGTTCATATCCAGGTGATGAACCAAGATGAAAGTTTCGAAATACTGCGTAAGCACTTGAGTTGTCAGCCGCTGTCAAATCAATTCTTAGTTCAGTTGCTAAACTGACCGCCATTTCTTCTATGTATTTTAATCCTTATAAAATATTTAAGTTAAAATCAAAACATGTTTCTCCTTAATCAACGAACACAACATGTCTAAAATACTTTAAATGTTCTACTTAAAACTATGAAATCTTTCAATGCATAAAAGTTCCCAAATTATATGAATTTGTCTATTTATTTTAAACGCAGAATAATATAATTTTTTTCTTGAAAATTTTCTTTTATTTAATAATTACCATAACATCTTAACATATACATGTATATATAGCATGCATGCAACCAATGTATTTACCTAGCCAGAACTCTCCTGAGTAGCTACCAAATCCGTCTGTATATTCTTTAAAGCTTCTTGTGAAATTTAAAGATCCATCAAAGCGATTTTGAAAAACCTGGAATTATAGAATTATAATGGAAGATGCAATTGTGCTTCTCAAGCTTTGATTTTATGTGTGTCTGGTGTGTTGTTTTTGTATTGAAAATATTCAGTGATATACTATTCATTCGTACGTTAATATCTGCCATGAGTGATCATTTGCAGGTTCATCTATCAATACAACAAAAGGGATACTATGTTCGTGCTACATTAATTTAGTATTTATCTTCAGACAACTATTTGGGGTTCACCCCAATTATTTTTGTGATAGACAACGAGGAGCATCCGCCTTATAACATAACAAATAACACATGGTTGTGGAAGTTTTCAATCATTATATAAAACAGAATAAAAGAAGCATTTATGCATACAATGTTTTGTTAAAACAATGTTTTGTTAAATTCAACAATGTTGACATCTCAATATTAAGAAACAAGCACCAGTACTGTCATTTTCATACTGAAAATACTGTATTCAGACATGGTCTGAAATGAACTAAACTTTGTTGAAACTTTATTAAAATAATTCTTGAAAAAATAAAAACATTGAGAGTCAGAAATTTAAAAGTAAAAGTATTAACAATTACTTTGCTGAGATCGAAAACAAAAAGTAAAGCTGAAAAGCGAAATAACTCAACGTGAGCAAAACTTATATTGCCACTGATCATGAGTTACGCCTCTTCTGTTAAATGAATTGTAAAAAGTCTTTTATATAAGGAATATTTGAAAATTCTAAGAGAGTTTTTTTATATTTGTATCAGTGCCTTATTTATGAAATGGTACGTTTAGTTATCGAGAATAAAACCTTTTGTCTTTTGATATGTGTTTCTTTATCTATATGTTAAACGTTTTTAGATGTATAATCCTATGATCATTACGATATTTTGAAACATGAATAAGTTGATATGATATATGTCACATACCGTCCAACCACCATTGTCTGTCTCCATGTCACAGTATATCTCTCGAACAACTTTAGATCTCCACAGGGTGACGTTATAAACTCCACTTTTACTCGCAATATTTTTATGACGTATATCGTAACAGTCGGTGGCGTTTGCTATAAGTTAAAAATATTGTTGATCTTTTGCTTTTTTATGATTTATTATTCAATGCCATCTTTTTTCAGTTACGTGACCTAAGAAGTTGTTATATTTGTTTTTTTTTAATAAGTTGAATCACCTTTATGAGACCTAGCATGTGCAATAAGTCAATAAAAAAATTGGCCCTTTGTGTGATCCAAGTAGCAATCATTTATCACATTAGTGAAGCTTGAAAGAGAATTTCATTTCCGATCGGAATCGAACCAATGATATACTGAAAGGAGTACGATGAACTATTCCTACATTATTATATATCGGTAAAATTTCAAATTATAGTAAAAAGGAAAATAAGAATTTAGACTCTGATTCAAGTACAAAATGATACCAAAAATAAGTGAAAAAGCTTACTGCTTTCACAGTTCTTTCCTGTATAACCACTGAAACAGTTGCATTTATAGTCAGAAATTCCTGGTTCACATGTTCCATGACTGCATGGATTTTGAGAGCAAAAATAATTCCATAAAGCTAAAAGACATCCAAGAAGAAAGAATTCATGTTTGGAAAAACACAAGACTGAATCAATGGAAACAAACAACACGAATATCATTTTCTCGAAGTTGATTTATTTAAAGGTAACAAATATAAATATAGTAGGTACTGTCCAATGTTACCTTGACAGAAAGAAATGATTTTTACCAAGCAGGTACACAGAGATATAGATCTTTGTATATTTAAAGAACAATGCAAAGACAAAACTAAGTGTTGTTTTATTTTTTTTCAAAATGAAATATACAAAGGATATTAAATGAGTTTAGATTTAGTACTGCATTTATTGAACGAGTTAAATAAAATTATATTATGCGAGCCAACACAAATATAATATTCTATCTATCACCCCCCCCCCAAAAAAAAAAAAGAAAAAAGACTGTTTAAAGTGCAAAAGAATCTTCTTTCTTTCATTGAGGAGCCTAAAGTGTAACGCTAACATTAAACTCGTCTTGACAGTATGTTTGTATAACGCAAATGATGTCAAGTCAAAATATATGCACAGCCGTGCAAACCCAGTTTTACGTAGTCGAAAAAGGGGCACGGGTATGTGATAAATCTAATTATTTTCTTATCATTGGTACATTTATGTTTTAGATATCATCATTCGCAAATACAAGGCATAAAATGATATTAACAAAATTATCAGTTAACTATTTTGTATAAAATTAACTTATTTACATGTAAACTTTGATCCTAATTTTCTTAGAAAATAAAAGGAAAAAAATCACTTATCGTTCACGTTTCTTCTTGAACATAATTTTACACAGATAATAAGTGTGTTCTAAGCTACATTGGGGTCCATTCGCCCTTCAGGCAATGAGAGTAGGGAACCCTTTACATAGAAAAAAAATCGTTTTAATATTTTGGATAAGTATCAAAAGTAGAAACTAGTTTTGTTTGTAATCATCAGACAAGCTATAATGCTGAAATATAATTTTGTATATATGTCATTGTAAATAAGGACATACATATATTACAGTATCGACCAGCGTAACCAGGGTGACATAAACAAAGGAAGTCATGAAGTACTTCGTAGCATTGACCGTGTACACATTGATTGGTCACACAATGTACTGTTTCTGTAAAGGAGTAAATGACATATCTACAGAATGAACAAAATGTGAAAAGGTTAAATAAATACATGAACTACTGACACATATTTAGCCACACAATGACTATTACAAATGCGCTTGTTTTTAAATGATTTTTTTTAACTAATAAGTTAATATTTTAACAACACATGGAAAGAAAATAGGTAATGTATCTGTTAACTGTGTTGATATAGTATTTTATATAAAATAAAAAAGTACCGCAGTTATTATTAGAGCAAGACTCCACTCTGTCATTTGATCCAACACAAGGTTGTCCATAGGGTGACGGGGGTGGATTCGAACATGATCTAGTTTGAGACCTAATTCCTCCACCACAAGTAGCACTACATGTACCCCATGAATTCCAGTCACTCCAACCACCATCTGCATAAAATCTTAAAATTATGTTGTAATATACTTTGTTGTTTATCATCAAATTCACAGCTAATTCTATCAATTAGCAAGACTTTGCTTTTGCAACGTATGAAGAATGACAAGCTCAATGTTTGAAAGGTATCAATTTAAATTTGTTTATAGTGATGGCACTTATTTTCTTAAAAGTACTTTTTTCAATACTCGTCCTGTTTATTTGTACAATTTTTGCAAGTTATTTTTCTATATGATTTTATAATATAGATAAACACATCAGAAAAATAGAATTTGTTTCTGTCCAATTTAATTAACAATTGGAAATCATTCCGTGTTCTAGCCCTTAAAGTATTATTTTGTTTCATGACATAATTTCATTTACGAATGCCGGATATTCCCAGAGATTGACAACAATAACGTGTATCAATGTCACATTTTCACATTTCAAAATATTTATTAGTAGTTACTACTCACTGGCACATGGTGCAGGCATGCAAAGTTGTGATTCTGTGTTATCTCCGAAACAATGGTTTCCAGCAAGATTTGGTGGCGGATTAGAGCAGGTCCTTGTGCGACGCTGCATTCCCATACCACAGGTAACTGAACATGTACCCCACTGTGACCAATCACTCCATCCACCATGCACTATGAATTGATCGATAAAGTAATAATCTTATGAAAAAGGTTAATCATTATTTATTGAATTATATTTGAGCTTTTTTACTTTTATCATTATTGAGAATACATAAACATTGATATTGGAATTGAAGTTACCTGGACATGGTTGATCTTTCCTACAAACTTTTGTCATCATTCCGTCCCCAACACAGTCAAGACCGCCGTTTAGTGGTGCCGGATTCGTACAGGTCCTTGCTCTAGTTTGATGTCCGTTTTCACAGGTAACATCACATTTGGACCAAGATGACCATAAAGTCCAGTTTCCGTCAACTAAATAATGGAACAATAATTAGTTTTTAACAAATATTTGATACATCAGTTTACTAAGTGGTTTTTTTTCCATGATATATGATTAGACGTTAGTACTCCAATATAATAAAATGAACGTTTTAATTGCTCACGTCTCTAGAGAGAAAATACCGAAGTACAAGTTTTCTTACAAAGAAAATCGAAAGGTATGATTATGTTTTTATGTTATGTTTTTGCCAGTGCCTTAATCCTTATCTTAATTTCAGCACTTGTGAAAAAAGTTCAAAAATCATTAATATAACCTATATAGTACTTAATTCACCAGATCGTCAATCTGATACACAATTAAAGTTCAAAACAAGATAAAGCATTTAATTGCATTATTTTTAAACTATTGTAAAGATGAACAATCGTAAGGAAGACAGCATACCCGTACAGAGTCCACAGAATTTTGCGCAGACTTTTTTTGCGTGTACAATGTCACTACAAATACTGAATAGTGAGTTCATTTGTGCACAATCTACAGATTCATCGTCCACACATTGTTTGGCTGAAACATACACTTCTTTTCTGTATAATTAAAGCATTGTACATGATTGAAATAAAACAAGTACACATGTATCGTAACTGTTCTCCATATCAAAGTGATACCTACAGATCAAAAATGTATCTAACTTCAAACAATACACATGTTCAATTCTTCAGGAGAACTGTTTTCATAAATATACCAGCACGTGTTATAAAACAAAATGTCCTTCCATAGACATTTGGCTATCTTACATTCAATAATTGACAAACATATTAACACACGCGCTTTATACAGTCCAAATTGCCAAATGATTCTATTTTGGATCTCCTTTTCAAAGCTTACGAAATTATTATATGTATAATCATAACTTTGGGGAAAAGATATATATCTGCCCAGTAGTTTCATATTGCTTTCTTTTATTGATTCAATATCATTGTAAAAATATAAAGGTGAATTATTTGCTCTTGAATATTCCCTCATTGTGAAAGGAAATAAAAAAGGACAACGGTTGCAATTTCTACAACACAGTTGCACATAAAATGAGTAACGGTTGGTTGTATAGAAATACCATAATTATAATTATTCTTAAGAAAGAACAACAATAAACAACATCGACCAAGTCAAAAAATAACAACGATAAGAAAAAAACAAAACATAAAAACAAAAATATTTTTGTTTCTTACGCTCCGGATGATGGCAAAGGGCAAAGTTACAACGGTCGGTGGAGCAGCATTCGAAACATGTAGATGTTGTCCTAGAAGCTATATCTCTCCCAATAATTGCAGAAACGGCAGCATGAGAATCGCAATCCTGTTTAAAAGATGCAACAATATAACAACAACAACAGCAAAAAGTTCTATGAAAAAGATAAATATTCTACGGTCTATTAACATTTATGCAATTTTGATCCCTTATTGAGGTCAGTTAAACGAGTAAAAAGAAAAACAATAGCATCCGTTCATTTTAAAAAAAAATATAGTTATTGTTAAACCTCTTATTGTGAAAAAAACTGTTTACTTTTTAATATCACAATTGTTTATAGTTTGTTAGTGTGAAAGAATCAAATGCTGAACATTTTGGATTATTGCCCTTTACTAATTAACAAAAACATATTCAATTTAAAACGTGATATAATTTGTAGTTTATTGCCGACTTTTTTACGCGTGGATTCATACGTGTCTTTACCACTGATACTAGATACATGCTAGTACTTTTAAGTTTAAAGAACAACTTAAATTTACTGTACATTTATTGAAATGTGCCAAGTGCAAACATTATTTTCTTTTTAGAATAATGCTACACGCTCGAAAGACAATTCATAATGGGTAAAATGATTTCAAATTCTGTAAAATGTGGCAAAAATCATTCTCACATACATATTCTTTATAAGGTTTCAGGTCGCACCGACGCTGTTTAAGTCATATGGCGACTTTCCAGGTTTACTTGTTGCGAAAGACCTCTGTACATTGATTCAGGCACAGGCGGGCACCTGAGTAGATCCACTGACGTTCCATAAGCTAGCTGGATAGCACATTTATAATAATAACATTTAATAATAACACCGTAATTAACTTTGGTTTAAGAACTTTGGAATGATCACTGGTTTGGAGAATGAAATACCTTATTGTTTACACATCCAAGACTGTGACGTCCTGAATTAATATTGTGATTACATGACTGAAACGTAAACGTTATATTCATTGTTATTTCAATACAAAGAAAAACGAAAACTCATTCTAGGTAAAAACAATAAATAAATTAAACACCATTTTAACTCATGAAACCAGAAAAGAGGACATTAAACACAAAACAATGCGTCAATGTCTTTTGTTTTCAAAATCAAGCATTGCATATTACATATATAGCATATTGTATATCAATATGTTTGATAAAAGTAGTGAAAGTAATATGCATTTAGTCTTTTTTCTGCAAAATCTGGCACAATATAATTTACATGCATTACTTTTTCCTATTTACCCTGCATTTTGATAGTAGTTAACATGTCAATTCTATATTAAGCTAGTTCAATCTTTTCTTTTACGTTATTATCTTATTATCATATGTGGAACATGGTAGTTGTCAACAATCTATTTCTGGGACGGGCGCGGTTACGAAAAGGTCACTGTTTCGCTTATTATAATATGTCTTTATAGCCAATTCGTCTGGTATGCAATATTTTTACCTGACCAGTTGAACATGATGTTGTGACATTGCATCCATCTATATTTGCAACATCTGAGCAACTTAAACACTCAAGAGATTCTGAAAATATTAATAATAAGACATTTTCAACCGGAAAAATATCAATTTAAGTCTTAATATTACGAATAAACGACGATTGAGATTCGCAACATGTTTTCAAGTAGCCATATGCACTATAGTAATATTAGAAATGTTTGACATTTTCAAGGCAAAAGGCTTTTTTGAGATAGATTTGTTATTTAAGATATTTTAACTATATTGTTGTTTACAATGACTTGTCTGGCATCTATGAAAACAGACCGAAATTAGTTAATACTTTTATCATACATAATATACCGCCGTAGACTTACCCAGGCAAAGGTAATGTAGCTTTCAAAAGGCGTTTGACATCCTCCATTTTATGGTATTTCATAAACAAAAACTATAGAATGGTCAAATAGGAAACAATTATGCCACATGTTGCGTTTCTTCACATTCAAATTGAACACTTTAGTTGTAACGCTTTATTTATTTGCTGCATCAATTGATTTAAGATAGCAATTCGAATTATAAAGTCACAAGCGGGTCGATAAACTAAGCGAAAAACATCCACATCCATATTTCAATTTCTAATATCAGTTAGCGATACATTCATTTCGTATACCATTTCATATAAGTTCATGATTTTCAATGACTTCATCTTTTCTATCATTTGGGGAGTGGGGGTCAAGAAGTTTTGAATTCGGTTGGAGGGGGGTGGTGAGGAAATTCGGTAATCTAAAGTTTCGTTCAATTTCAAACCATTACGTTAATTTGGAAATTTGTGTAAAGATGACCTTAATAATATAGATAAATACAGAATCCCTAAAGAAAGCCCAACACGGCAAAATTGAAAATGTTGCAGGCTCGGTTTGATTGAGCCTGTTCATGGACGGTACTGGAAAGTGCAAGTTACCGTCCACGCCCCCTAGCACCGGGGGCTAAAATAAATATTTAAATGAATATTTTAATTAAAACTACGTACACACGAAATTTGAATTTCATACGAACCTGAGTATCCAACCAGAGTTACCAGGATCATCACATTATAGTGAGTCATCTGAAATAAAACAATAAAAACCGAAACCAAATACTGTTCGGAATTTTTATTACTATACTTGAATCCCTCGAACGTAATCGCACTGTTTTTTTGATGCAAGATAATTTTTTCAGTTGTAAAAAATGTAAACTTAAGTAGATGTTTTTATTGAAAAAGAAAGTATGTATTCTTTTAGTGAGTGTTCCTATAAGTTCATCCCAAAAACGCCTGAAATAAATTAAAATCAGATAAAAATTATAAAATTTAACATTAATAAACTAAGCTCACCACCATATAACATCATAATATTCACCCATAATTTGTCCGTTTCCGAACTACGACGTCTATAATAATTTACGATTTTGTAATAAGTCTATTTACTTTACGCCTAAATTTGAAATAAAGTGCTAATTTTCCGTTTTAAAAGTTTATGATAAAATATGACGAGATGATTTTTATCCTGCTCTTATCGTACGAGGCAGGTTCAAATATGAATAACAATATAGTTCCTTATCAAAAAATGTCTGATCAAACCAACATGAACTTTCAGCTGAAAATAATTTTTGTCATAACATAATGGACAGAATTTCATATCATTATTTTAAAGGCTCAATTAAACCGAGCTTGCAACAATTTTAATTTTCTTGTTTTAGCCGTTCTTTCGGGATTCTGTTCTTCTCTTATTTTACTAAGTTTTTTTTTCATGTGTAATGAAAAGTTTCCTTTTATTAAAACAAGCTACTTATTTAACATTGTTTTTGCATTGCAACAGTCAGTTCATGGCGTCTTTGTACGATTGGTTATAGGTCGTTTCACTTCAAACCACACACAATTTCGCCGCTGTGGGGTTTCGTACTGTAAGAGATTTTGGATAAAGATTTGCAGCTTTTCTAAGCTGTTTTACGGATCTTTGATAATGCTAATCCTTCTCAGTAAGTAATCATAACCGAGTGAAAATAGTAAAATCAAAAGTAAGGATCTTGATCTTGTTAACATATTCTTTTAACGTATCTTTTTTATTTGTATATTTTCGTATACGAGAGGTAATCAGTAAGTTTATGGACTATTTATAAATAATTAAATTGTTACCCTTTACAGGTGCAAAAATAGTATTATGTAACAATTTTCACGATTTGTCATTTATCAAATACAAAAATTGTAACCCTTTTACAGGTGCAAAATAGTGTGAAAAAATTTTCACGATTTGCCATTTTATTAATTATAAAATTGTTACCCTTAACAGGTGGAAATATTATGAAACAATATTGACGATTTGCCATTTTCCATGACAATACATGAAACGTTTCAGGCAATAACAAAAGGTACAGTAATTTTAACCCAAACACACAGGTACACAACAAGTACCATAATATATTTAATCACTGGTTGAAAATGCAAAACAAAATTCAGCGAGATAAAGAAACAAGCGATTTACACAGTTCCCTGTATGATAAAATAAAATATAAATTTTAGCCAAACTAATGACAAGATGTTATGCAAATAAATATCTCATTTAACCAAATCTCGGACAAGATTTATTATAACAGTTCATACTCGTACATTGTAAAGGAACCATCGCAAATTTCAACTGATAACAAGTTCAAACCCCGTGAGAGGAAAGTCGTTGTTTCAATGAGCAAGAAACTTTACACAATTGCTAAGTACAGGTTGGTTCCAGGAACAGATTCGAAAGTGTGTCTATAACATTATAGCTTCCTACATAATCGAACTAAAATATTTTTTTTTATTAAACCAATGTAATAAGAGCAATTTTAGACTATATTCATTGCAGTGCAAGAAAAGAGACCACATATTCAGAAGTTGACGGCCTCGCTTTATGCTGCACAAAACAGTAAATCAAGTTTGAAGTCATTATTGTGGAAAAGTACAATTTTAGAGAAATTATAATATTTGAATCGCCCGAATATGTTATTTAGAACTAAACGAAACAATTACCTTTTCATGTAAATTTACCATTTACAGCCTAATAAAGTTCAAACGTACATTAAAAAATAGCTCGCCAGAGCATACAATTAGCAATTATTAAATTACCATAAATAATACCTAGTGTTATAGCAAATATGGTCTTAAAGTTAATTAAAGAGTGTCCCGATAAAATAGTTTTATGACAGTCTGAGTAAACGTTGCTACGGTTACCGTTGCCAAGGATAATTAACCTTTCAAATGTTTGTAGATGCAAGTAATGGCTTAAACATTTATTTTCATACACAGTAGTCGATTGTCATGGAAACTGACGATTCTCAATGTAATTCAGGAAATATAATTCTATATATTGACCTTGTCGGCCACCCGAACGATTATTAAAAAACTATTTGCAAACGATTTAAGCCAATAGAAATAGAAATGTAAAATAAAAAATGCACACTTCATACTGAAATCATATATTAAAATAATTTTTCTTCTTCATTTCCTATTTGTATTATTTTTTTTTGTCTTAATACAAATATGGAATAAAATAAACTTTAAACTTAAAACGTAAAATATTTAATTTTGTATTATATAGCTGGTACTTAAAATTTGAAAAAAAAAATGGTTGATCTTTTTTTGACAAATGTCAAGAGAGTAAAAAGGGAGAATTTATGAAGTTAATTGCCCTTTTTATATGACAGTATCTGTGATTGCAATAAAATATTTAATCAATTTATAGAGAGCACATTAAAAATGGCAATTTTTTTATGTTTTTATTTTCATACTTCAACCTACTTTTTGGAATGCTTTATTGCAAACTTGTATAAAACGCATTGTTTGTATTGTCCTAATGCAAATAAAAAATGAATTATCTTAACCCGATTTTTGTTTACATATCAACAAACACATTAAGGTTATAGCAAAACTCTCTCATTGAGTATGACGTTGCCAGATTATTCATATTACTGTCTTATATCAATGCCTGTGCTTATCATTTGCTGTTCAAGCTTAAAACAGTGTTAAGTAAATAACCAAGACGGTTGTTTATACTCAAGAAGATAAATAAGGACTTGTTTTATTCTTAAGACTTCCTAGTTGAGACATTACGAAATAAGTGTAAGATACTTACACTTTTTAAATTGTCCTTAAACAAGATTTACGATATACACAATGCAATAAAAAGAAAATATTTTATGTGAAAAACAGTTTAATAAAAAACAGTTTCAAAATTGCAAGTGAAGTCAAACTGAAGAGCGAAGGACACGTGACATCAGGACGATACTTTTATTTTCATAAATACTTAACTTCCCGATATATTTTCATCAGTTTTAGCCGTTTACTTCATTTTTAAAATAGAGAACATATGAATCCCTAAAGAAAGTCCAACACAACATAATTGAAAATGTTGCAGGCTCGGTTTGATTGAGCCTGTTCATGGACGGTACTGTAAAGTGCAATCTACCGTCCACGCCCCCTAGCACCGGCTTCAACAAAATTCAACATTTAACATGAACTGGTACAATTTTGAATTTTGAAACATCCGCAGATGTGTTAATATAGCGGTTATCATGGAACTTTCAATGCCATTCCATGAAAAGCGGCATATGGTCCCCAAGTAAGACAATGCATGTGCCCTTAACGAAAAAAAAAGCAGTGGGCGAAACTAAATAAAATGGAATTTTGAAAGGAGATCCGAGGTTATGAAGCCTGAATATCACAGATAATACGTCAAAAGACAAATTTAAAAAGCAGGCCACATATCCTAGGGGTGATTCAACAGTATTCAAGTGAGGAATACTGGAGCCAACCTACAAGAAAAAAGCAAAATAAAAAGAACTAAGTTACCACAAGCATATCAATTATGTCGTGCTGAACGATCATTAAGGGTCGGAAATATAACATCTCTGATTGAATGTAAAATTAAATTTTCTTTTATGATCTAATATCCTAGCAAAATGAAAACATAAATTGAACCCGACCATCCTTTTTCATGATTACAACATAACGAATAACATATTTTTCACCTTGACTTATTTGTAACATAAGTATGACTACGCTTATGCCATATTTAATTTAAATCTTGCCAATGTCAAACTAAAACTGAATTATTTTAGTCTGACCAATAAATGCCATTTTTAGCTTGGCGAATGCTGCACATCGTTAAGACTTAACGTCATACTCGACTTTTAAGTCACTTCTTATTCAATTTATTTTGATAAAGCTGATGCAATACTTGGTCGTTTAACTTATCACAAATATAATTGATATTTTATGTAGATAATTTCATTCTTGATTTCTTAACCTACTTCTTATATGACGTATTGTAATGTAGCTTATGTCATACTTGATATCAAACTCACTGATATAATCAATTTTAAAGTAGCTATTGCCATACCTTTCTAACTTACCATTTGAAAGTAACTAATGCCATACTTGATTTTTAAACTTACCACAAATATGATAAATGTTAATGTAGCTAATGACATTACTGTTTTACTAACCACTAATATAATTAATTTGAATGTAGCTAATGTCAAACGAGATTTAAAGCTATTCAATTGTATTAACACAGCTAAGTGTACCTCTACCATTCTGGACAGTTCGATTGTGATTGACAATTGTCATAAATTGTTTTTCACTTAAAAACCCTTTTCAATGAAGCAAGTGTCAGGCTAAATATTACTCTAACTATTGACATGATTGACTCAACCATGCAGGATTTTAACCTAGCTAAGGGGATGCGAAAATGATATTTTATTTCGATCTATTTAGAGGCATAATCAACTATAACATTCTTAACATTCAACTGGTCATTGACATATTTCATTTTATTTTGATCGTCATGACGTCCTAAGAGATATTTACGTAGTTAAATTATTTATTTAAACGTTATAAAAGCATTTATGTCTGAATTTATGAATTAAACTTAAAAAAACAATGTACGTTTTTGCTCAGATAACAAAAAGCAGCAGCATCAAAAACACGCTAGTTTGCAACAACAAAAAGGATTAACTAAGTTTACTGAACAGCTTATGTTTAACAAACAAAACATGTTTTATTGCAAATAAAAACGACAATTCAAATATTTTATAACAAAGATATATGCTACATGAGTATTTTATGACAAATAAGGCTGAAGTGGAGTCATTGAAAACACGTATAATATGTATGCCACTTATTGTGGAAAATTTATAAAATCGTGGGGATACCTGCTTGAAAACAGCTCAAATGGACTCGTTAATTGGAGTATATATAGAATGTCGCGCATGTGACAACAACAGAACGATCTGAACAATCTATGTAGCAGTACAACGTATGCTTTAAATTGTTTTTATTGTATAACTTATTTAAATGATATATTTTAGAATATGTTTTTAATTCATTTTTGGAATATGTAAAAGTGACATAATATTTATAATTATCAAATGAAATTATATTCATTTGTTTTGTTTGTGTTGTTTATATTTTCTTCAGATAAGTTTTTTTTTCGATTTGATACAATTCGATAATTATCAAATGAAATTATATTCATTTGTTTTATTTGTGTTGTTTATAATTTCTTCAGATAAGTTTTTTGGATGTGATTCAATGTCACTTATGTAAAAATGAGTTCAAGAGCAGTTGTAGCTCTACTGTTGATATTCTATTTGGCACAGGTAGAAGGTAAGTGTACCGTCCTCTATTAGCTGAAAGTTTCATTATTATCTGAAATCATAATTAAAGATAGATAATTTTAGATAGGAATTAATTGTTGTGATATTTTAATTATAATCAGGGCAAGTTAAAGTTATGGTTTTCGTTTATGTCTTAAAAAATGTCCAATTTTACCCCAAAAAGGCGCTTCTTAATCTATAATGAATCCACTGTATTTCATTGTATTTATAAAATGGTTAAAGGCACATATATAATCATGTTAACTTATAAACTTATTTCTATTGTAAATTTTTTTTTGTTTATGAAAATGCGATACAAATTTTGTCAGATAGTCTCAAGGTGTATTGTAATACAAAGAAAGTGCCAGTGTTCGAAATAGGTTTAACATTTTCATCGCCAAGTAACATTTTGGTTGTTAATATACATTGCAAACAATGAGACTATTTTACAGTATTGGATCACCACACTATATACCGTATTCCCGTACATCCCGGACGGGCGCCTGAAATATTTAATGCTAAAATCTCGTTCTACAGTCGCCAAAATGCACTTTAAAATGGCAAATTCAACTCTTCACACCTATTTAAAAACGGTAAGGAGTGGGAAAAAATAAGAATCGCCAAAAAACGTTCTACTTTGATCATCATTTCTGTCAATCGTATAGGTACTGCTCCAACACAGTAAATAGTTAAATTAAATTACAGTATAGTATACATACATGTTATCACTATTGGCATGAATTTATTTTCCTCCAAGCATTATAATATAATGGAATACCTATAAGGTATCAGTTTCATTTCCAATCATATTGATTTCTAATTTCAGGAAATTCTGTGCTTAATGTAACGGGTATAAGACTACCAGGAGGAAGCGGGACATATGAAGGTCGTGTGGAAGTAAATGTGAATGGTGTTTGGGGAACAATATGTCACAATTCGTTTGATATGAGAGATGCTAGAGTGTTGTGTAGAATGATGGGACTATCGTATGTATTGATATTATTCAATTCAATTAAATATAATCTAAAACATACGTGTATTTTTCAGTACTTGTAAGCTTTATGTAAGCATTTCATTTTTTAAATCAATTTATGGAATACTTTTAAAAATAATACTTATTTACAGAGCGACAACATTTTTCACCGGAGCACATTTTGGAAAAGGCATCGGTCCAATATTTGCACAAGAGCTCAGATGTGGCGGGCATGAAAATCATATAAACCAATGTTCTTTTGTTCCTAACGTGCATTGCACACATAGCTCCGATGTAGGAATCATGTGCACAGGTTTGATATCGACCTACTTAGTGTATTTTTGTATGACCGAATAGACCGTATTTCTGGAAGAAATAATTTATAGTTGAAAACTCAGATGCTTACCCTTTGAAAAGCTTATCTTAATTTAAAGTAAACAAAACAGAGTTAACAAATAATAAATGTAACAAGTGTTGTATGAGATCCTTTAAAAGAGAAAAAATCCAACATCAATAAAAATATACAGGATATCAGCTTATCCAAACAGCTATTATAGTTAAACATTAATTATAAGTTAGTCTCTAACTACACATATATTTCTTTTCTGAAAGGCTGTGGAGAAATAGATATTACGAATGGGAAGGTAGAATCCATATCTGCCAGTGGAACGGTGTTGTCCATATCTTGCAATGCTGGATATTCTTCAAACACAAACACGTCTATATGCTTAAGAAATGGAACTTGGTCTGTATCTAAGATAACCTGCATATCACCAGGTATGTCATTACTTTGGAAGTTATAAAGCCTTAGAAATTATAATGTTGATCCGTGTTTTGTCTGTTTGTGTTTAATGATGTAGATGAATACTGCTAAGGAGATAAAAAAACGTTTAATAAGGACTTAATATCTCCTACATAGGACTTCATTACTTCTACGCAGGACTTTATAACTCCTACGTATGACTTTATAACTCTAACAAAGGATTAAAAATACTGATTAGGAGTTTATAACTCCTACATAAGATTAATAACTCCTACGTAGGACTTCATAACTCGAACATAGGAAATAATAACTATACTTAGGGCTTTACAACTCCTACGTAAAACATTTAACAGCCACTTAAACTCCTATGTAGGACTTTATAACTCCTACGTAGGAAATAAAAGCCTTATTATGAGTTTATAACGCCTACGTAGGACTAAATAACTCTTACATAGGACTAAATAACTCCTACTTAGGAAATAAAAACGCCTACGTAGGACTTTATTACTTCTACGTAGAACATTAACAAACCTCTAAAACTCCTACGCAGGACCTTTAACTCAAACGTAGGAAATAAAAAGCCTATTTGTGAATTTATAACTCATACCTGGGACTTAATTACTCCTACGTAGTAGAAAAAACGCCTAATTAGGAGTTTATAACTTACGTAGGACTTGATAACTACTACGGTACGTACAAGTAATCTGTCATTTGTATCATGCATAAAGCTCATAAATCGCAACTTTCCGGATCGGTATATCGGCGATGTGAAAATACACTTCACCCCCACCTATATTTCAAATACCTTTCAAGGCATTTAACTACCATCTTACCCCCCCCCCCCCCTTCAAAAATATATTTGTAATACACTGTGAAGTGTCTTGTCTCAGCTCCGGAAAATTGCCCTGTGAATCATTATGCATGCAAGACTTTATGATTCCAACGCACACGGGGGAGGAAGTGTAACACGAAGGATGGAGTTCTTATAATAACTGGCAATAACAAAAGTTATCATAAGAACTCTGTGACATCTTCAGAGTTATCACAAGAACTCCGGGACATTTGAAAAATCGGGTATAAATCTGTTAGCCGGTGCTTTATATTTGCAATTTTGCATTATAATTATGTAATTATGTATGGCAAGGATGAAGACCAGAAATAAACCGGTCAATACTTGTGATTTAGCAAATAATTTGAAAATTTTACTGAAAACGACAAGATTTGAAGCAAGAGGCGCTGAAAAATGGCCTGTGAATTAGTGTTTGACAAATAATACAAGATGTAAGACAAGCTTAATCATTAAAGTTTAATTAAGCACCTAAAACTCATTTTTGAAAGATAAAAAGAACCATTTTCAACGAGTGTTTTTGTAGTATATACAAAAGTTTTCCGACGAACTCCGTGACAGGTATCACAAGAACTCCTGATCTAGTTATCATAAGAACTCCATACTTCGTGTAACACTTCCTCCCCCGTGTGCGTTGGAATCATAAAGTCCAATGTAGGAGTTATAAACTGCTAGTTTGGCTTTTTGCATCTCCTACGTAGTACTTATTAAGTCTTACGTAGAAATTATAAAGGCCTGCGTATGAGTTATAAACCCCTAATTAGACTTTTTCCTCCTAGGAGTAATCCTCTTTTGTAGAACATTATGCATTGGAAATAGAACGCTTCCGTACATAAGTCATAAATGTCGTTTTTTTATAATAATGTCTTGTACTTTAGGCCGTCGTTGGTAAGCAAATTTTATTTCTTATCAGTGACGGTGCATTGCAGTAACATGCTTTATCTAAATACCACATTTAAATTTATTTCTATTTTCAATTTCTGTAAGAAGTTATTAACAACCTAGCCTTTAAATTGTTTATCAAGTATGAATGAAAGAGTATAACAAAGGGTGATAAGTTATCGGGCCATTTGTTTTAAATGCTATATGCATATTTTTCGTGTAAAAATTTACACCTTCTTTTATATTATACAGGTTACCCATTAAATATATCTGGATTAAGATTAGCAAACGGTTTAGGTTTCCATGATGGACGTATAGAGATTCTTGTTAATAGTGTATGGGGAACGATATGTGGCAACTCATTTTCATATACTGAAGCACACACAGTATGCAGAACCCTAAATTTTAGGTATGAATGATAGCTACTTATTACACGCCGGCCTCGTGGCCGGCTTGTGATATGGTTTACATAAGATAAAATTCCATGGGGAAAACTTGGCATGTGTGTTCGACGTCATAAGACCAAAACGGTTCTGGTAACATGCTGAAAAATAATAGGGTAGAAAGGTCGGAAAAACTATTGTTTTAATTAGTACTTTAAAATTTAACTGTCAGTGATATGAAATATTATAAAATATTAAATTTAGTATTTTAATTGAAATGTATAATAATTTATAATAATTTTGCAGTTTGAATACGTATTTTTCATAAATGATTGATACCTCTTCTTCCAAAATAATGATTATGATGATTTAATATCAAATTATTTGCATAATTTCTACACGGTATACAAGTTCAAAGACCTTCCATTCGCTCACAGAGAACAAAACGAAAGTGCTTTATTCGGACGACTGTGTGCGAGAGGAAATGAAAGTAAAATCATTAAATGTCGCGTTTAAAATGAATTTGCAGTTTGTAGACGTATATTATGAGAACCCATTTTGTTTTGGTTGATTTTTTGTAAATCATTAAGATGATTTAATCTTCATTTATTTGCATAATGTTTATACATTAGCTGAGGCATCTGTCTTCCTTTCGTTCATTGTAATATAGCGTTTAAATACACTTTAATATCAATATTGCAGTTTGAAGAGTGAACAGTATAAATACGTCACATTTAAATATTTTGTTAAAATATTAATGTATCATAAAGATCATTATGTCCCGATTTTCAGAGAAAGCATAAACTAGTTTTTCAAAATATATTATCACAATTCAACAACATTGACATTGTATAGCCATGTAGATTATCTTGTTTGATTATTTACGTGCAAACACGGGTTGTCATAACATTTTCGCATTCAATTTATTTTACAGTAATCTTGCGTTCAGAACGCTTTGGCCTGGAATCATGAAAGTTAATATGGGGGATGATAACCTATGGCAGATGACCCCAAATATTTTAAAGTCATTACGTCAAAGGTCAACGTCACAGTGACGCGAATTAAAAAAACCATTTCCGGATGATTACTTGAGTATGCTTTGGTTCAGGATCACGAAATTTGATAGGGAAATTGTGAATCATTGGAAGATGACCCTATCTATTTTGAAGTCAGTCGGTCAAAGATCATGGTCATAGTAACCCAAAAGGCTAAACATTGCTTAGAATCATATAATCATATGACCCCTATTATTTAGAGATTAGTAGGTCAGTTTCAAGTGGCCTATGATGGTTGGACCATTTTTAATGGTCAGTATGTTTTGTTTTGTCCTATGATCATAAATGTTGGAAGGGAAGTTAATCATCATTCACAGATGACCCCTATTGATTTTAAGATCAGTAGGTCAAATGTCACTAACAGAATGTATGAAGGGGGATAGTTCGTGTTCTACAAACTTTTGATCATAATATACACGCAGTGCAGTTTTTGTGTACATACAAATTTCATGTATGCTCGTCACAACACGTAACTATGCAATATCAAAAGAAGTTAGAAATCCTGTTTGCCGGCGTATAAATATTTAACTTGTATATTTCTTGACTTTAACAGTATCATAACCTCAGATTTTAACTCAAATTTACTTTTCCTCCAATAACATGTAATGTGCGTATTGTATTCATACAACATAACTCATTTATTTCAGTGGCGTTTATTGGTACTCTAGTTCATCTAATGAATATGGGATTGGACAAGGGCCTATACATCTGAGTAACCTTAACTGTTCTAGAACGGATACTGACATCAATGACTGTATATATACAGTAAACCACTCGTGTCGTCACCCTTATGACGCTTCCGTTGTTTGTCGTAAGTTGCTTCTTTCATTTGCTTTTGATCAACAAATATCAGTACTTGCAATGGTTAAACACTAAGTTCAAGCGAGCGAAATAGTTGCAAACTGGATAAAACAGTTACCGAGTAATGGACATTATGGACAAAATATCATGACTCTGTAGCCATTTGGTCAAGTTTGCAACCATTTTGCTCTCTTGAACCAAGTATGCAACCACTTCACGTCATGTCCCGTATTTCAAAGACACAAATAATTTATCTATTCTGATATATTTATAATTTTCTTCTTGTTATAAAATTTCATTCTAAAGTCTAGAAATTTATCTCGTGTCACAGGCAATATGCAAGTTTAATTATTTTATGTGCTTACACATATCTTAGGGTATGACTTAAACGTCACAAATATTCGGCTAGAAAATGGAACAGGACAATATGACGGTCGTGTTGAAATTCAAATGAATAAAACCTGGGGAACTATTTCTAATAGATACTTCTACAAATCTGGTGGAGCTGTACTATGCAATATGCTGAATTTACAGTAAGTATATATGTAAAACCTCCGTAGTATTCGGTAAAGTTAAATCTCTTTGTCTGTCCGAGCAAGAAGATTAGGTTTATACGTAACTTTAAAACGGGAATGATCGCTCCCAGTATACCAATGTTAAAAGTTAATACAATCATGCACTACGACTAAATTTTTCACCAATGATCGTAGCAAAAAAACAAATAAATGGAAAAGATCGATAACAATTATTGAATTACACTTTTGTTGCTTATGCGTAAGTACATTGTACTCTATTGCGTATGTGAAGAATTTTATAATACTAAACACAATTGTTGACCGTTAAAACAAAAAGTATTGCATGCCAAAAAAAACCATGTGCGCTGCTTTAAATGGTTATGAAACAGACAAGGTCAAATGCAAAACATTTTTATATTTGACGCGTTCCATATTTGAAAAATGTTGAAAGTACTCCGACAGAAGACGATGATTCTCTTGCAAGTGTTTTTATTTCAAATCAAGCAGATGAAAAGCCGTGAATGATGTATGTATACTAAAAAGCCAACATTATGATACAACGTGTCGTGCGAAAAGTCAAGGCTCGTAGACCAAAGGACAATGTTTTACATCGAAAATTAATGTTAAAAGTGTGCTTTTCGAGGAAAGTTCCTATTGATGCCATAACAATATAACGACCATTATTTTGAAACCATGTAACTTGGATTCAGCATTTGGAATCTTACATAAAATATCTTAGATATAAATATTGGCGGAATCATATTTGATGACGTTCTCTGATAAATAAAACTTAGTTTTTGTGACTGTTTTAGAAACTTTAAATTATTTTTTTGTTTTCAATAATTGTGCATAAAATTATTATAATGAAGTTTTTCTTTTGTAGGTATACTACGCATTTTACAACGGCTATATATGGAAGCGGACCGGGTCCAAAATATATTGATAGATTATACTGCTCAAGCAATCAAAGCCATATTAACGACTGTTATTTTGCTCCGGCATATCGATATTATTATATCAATGATTATAGTGATTTATCATTAGTGTGTACAGGTACATTTTTTTAAGTTACATATCATTCGATATGCTTTGCATGTACTGTCATATGTCTTAGTGTACTATCTTATGAAATATGCCATGTCATGTTTTATCTGATTAAATATACATGTATGTGCAAAATAAAATAGTGTCCTACATACAAAATGTTAAACAAACTTGATTATTTCTAGAATGCGGAGACCCTGATATAGGAAACGCTATTCTATCATCATTTAATGGCACAATATTGAAAGCAACAAGTTTAGATGGCTACGTTCCAGAGACAGTAACATTACATTGCCTAGAAAACGGAACATGGATAAGGGACGATATATGTAAACTTTCATACGGTAAAAGTGAATTGATTACATAAATCATGATCATTCTGCAATTGAGTGAATAAGTAGCTTCTTTTACTCAAGGCTATAAATTGTAACACATGGTGCAAGTCGTCTAAACGTCAAATTTTGAATTTAATATCAATGCAAACTTAACAGTAAAGTAAACTATAATATTTTGTGCAATAGCAAAATTATCCATTCGAGGAGAATGTTCAACTTACAAGCACGTTTAATCAGCATACCTATGTTTATTTTACTTTTCTCTTCTGCTATGGAAAAACATACACAATTATTTACCTACACTTAAAATAAAATTTAAAGTAATCGCCGTTTTGCACAGGTGCAAGTTTTGTTTTATTTTCAGTATTTTTGTTGAAATGTTTGTTATTCCTTTCTATTACATTTTAGAAGTTCCGCTTAACATAACAGACGTTCGTCTCTATAACGGTAATGAATACGAAGGAGTAGTACAGTTCAAAGTAAATGATCAATGGGGTTATATGTGCTACACCAGCTTTGATGATGCTGCTGGAAATGTTGTGTGCAATATGTTAGGATACCAGTAAGTAAAATTCTGATTGATTTCCTAAAGCATAGTAATAATATAGTTTCTTTAATTAAAAAACATTTTTAACCGTTTACAATTTTCCGTTCAAACAAACGTATATATGTGTATATATCTATTGAAATCCTTATCTTTTCCTTATTTTAAAATCCTTTTATATCTGAGAAAACCTTTTCCTCATGGTATTACGTACCTTTTCCAAAACATCCTGAATATATCGATCAGCCACAGTGTAAAGGCACAGAATCTCATATCAACGAATGTACTTACACGATACCATATTCTTGCCCTTTTGAAGGAGAGTATGTTCGTTATGCTGCAGTTGAATGTACAGGTAAAATAACCATAGAAAAGGTTAAGAAAAGTAAATGTACTGGACATTATTTTTATAACACGACTCATAATGCATTTATTTATTAAATAAAGTTGTTATCACTGAGTGAGTGACTATTCGATTTCACAACATAGAATGTAGTCAAAGAAATATGCCGCTAAATTGGAACACCCAAAATATCAGTACGATTAGTAGGATAGATCTGGTTGTAAATTATATTATTTTAATTAAATTTATCCGTATAAAACACAAAGCTATTTAGATAGTCACGTCATAAAATTGTTTAATTAATCACACTATTTTTGAGTCACTGTTTTCTAAAATTATATATCTTACACTAGGTCATCGACTGAATATCTCTGGAATAAGATTGGCCGGGACTTCAGGTCCTTATCACGGTCGTGTTGAAATAGACGTGAATGGGACTTGGGGAACAATCTGTGATCGATACGTTTACGACTACGAAGCAGATGCCATTTGCCAAATGTTTGGTCTTGAGTAAGTACAGTATTCTATGTTTTTATCTCGGACACTTTTATGCATTTCAATTACATATTTCCACGTAATGTTAATACATAAAGACGCAATGACTTTACTGTAAACTTTTTTTTTTCGATTTTACAAACCATTAATATAAAGTATAACAACACACTTATTTTCTTTATTCTGTATTGTAAGGAGTTACAGCTTTTACCACAATGCATATTATGGTGAGGGTAGCGGACCAGTTTACATTGACGAATTAAATTGTTATTTTGGGCAAGAACATATAAATGAGTGCCAGTATGTTACGGAACATACATGCCAACATAGAAACGATGTGTCCGTGATGTGCTATGATAAGAGGAAAACTCAATTACTTTTCCTGATTTGATACGGTTAATTATAATCATAGAGTTGCTATATCTTCCAAGAAGACATTTGAATACAGTCCGAAACAAATAACGACAACCATAGGCATTTCAAACCTTTTGCTGAGTTAAAGATCTTTTTACTTTTTTTAAATATTCAAATATAAAAAGAAGACATTGTTTTGAAACGTAATGATATTTTTAAGTAAAAGGGTTAAGTAAATTTGTAATACCATTCTTTCTATTTTTAAACTGTTTGTATGATGGCTGTTTTGTGCCATTCGTGTTTTCGCTTCGCGCCCCGCTTTTTTAATTCTTAATCTCGCTCTCCCTAGCGGGGCGACGTTTTATTTATTTAATCGCGACCCCGCTAATTAGCGTGTTTTCATCCTGCGCCCCGCTATTTTGACTTGTGAATTCTAGAATGTTCGCTTGGTAGAGTCGCGATGCGAAAAACAAGCTAATAAGCTTGGATGCACGCGAAGTTTTATTTATTAAACTTTGCTCCGCGACCCCGCATATACGCGTGTTTTCGCTCCACGCACGCCCCGCCGTTTTATTTATTAAATATTGTTCCGCGATCCCGAGGAGCGATGTTTCATTTATTAAACTTCGCCCGAGCCCCCGCTAATTAGCGTGTTTTTGCTCCGCGCTCCGCAACGATAATTTATTAACTCTCGACTTTTCGCTAAGCGGGTTTGCAGGGCGAAACACGCTAATAAGCTAAGTAGCTGAGACGCGAGGTGGAGTTTTATTTATTAAACCATGTCCTTAAAATCACTTAAAAAGCATGAAATAAAATGAAAATTTATTTGTTTTACATATAAGATTGAAATATATTTCATTCGTGAACACCAGCTATTATATTTTCACTCGTGGCTACGCCACTCGTGAAAATATTGCGTCTGGTGTTCACTCAGTGAAATTATATTTCAATCTTACATGCAAAACAAACAAATATCCTCTATATTAAGCATCACCCGCACCCTCGATTATAACCGTGTTTTCGTCCCGCGCCCGGCCATTTTAAGTTGGTTATTCTGGAATTTTCGTTTGGCGGGGTCGCAGGGAGAAATCACGAATGGCACAAATCAGCCACCATATGTTTGTACTATTAGTATCTCTTAAAGTACTTCTAAAATTTTCAAAACGATGACATACGAGTTTATAAAATTACGTTCCAATAAAGGTCCAAAACTAAATATTACTGATGTTCGACTGGCCAATGGCACAGAACCGTTTGACGGACGAGCTGAAATCAAGGTCAATGACACATGGGGTACTATCTGTGACATTAACTTTAACATAAATGATGCCGATACATTTTGCAACATGCTTGGTCTGAAGTAAATATTTGTTTTGCTTTTTAACTGTCGTTGCAAAAGATACTTTCTTAGTTCGATATTATTTTTGTGTTGTACTACTAAACGGAATTAAAGTTATCATTTTAAGAGTTAAGAAGTTTAATTTCTAAAGTATAATTGCGTGTCTAAAATTGACATATTTTGCCATTGGATATTCTTTTATTAAATAAAAGAATGTAATTCAATAATATTTAAATAGAAGATTGAGTTTCACTTATATCATTGTATATTTCTTTTATTAAAAAAATAAAACTTTAGTCTTGTGTAATTTTATTGAAAAAGATACACATATAAAACAGGAACAACATTTAATTTTGCATTATGAGAAATAACTTTTTTAAGGCATTGAAATGTGTTTGGGTTTCTTAATTGTAAATATAAATTACCACAGTCCTGAGAAAGCGAAAAATATAAAACCTGTACTACTGGAATTTTAGGGGCGCACACTATTTCACCGGTGCATCACACGGCGAAGGAACAGGTCCTGTGTATGTTGACGAATTCTTTTGCAGTAGTATCGATACCAACCTGAGTGACTGTAGATATTTGTTTCGAAACATCTGCAAGCACGATAGAGACGTGTCTGTTGTCTGTAATGGTATGTACTTATTTGCAGTGATATTTACTCCGGTAAAGAGGCTGTTTTTGAAAATGAAAATTAATTACTCGTTTTTGAGCTTTTATCAATTGTTTGAACAATAATTGTTAATTGCTGACGAATAAATTTAAAATAGTTTCTTTTAAGAAGTGTCACATTTGAGCACAAAAATAGCAAAACTCAAGCAAAGTACGTTATAAGGACATAAAGCTTTAGAAATAATTAATTATTATACAAATATTCCAAAGAAAAAACAAACATCATTTAATCATGTGAGATATGAAGAGATTAAACCTTTGAATATGATAATTTTGTTTTACTTTAAAACAAGGCAGTCTGAAGGACAGCTATATCCCCTTTCGCAGTACATAAATGTGTACTTTTTGACATTTTACCAGCCTTGATCTTAATATTATTTCATGCATATCATAAGCGCATAGTCTCATGATGGTGATTAGTTGTGCCAGGTTATAAAATATCTTTAAAAAGTAAAAAAAAAACATATAACCTTGACCTTAGGGGTAGCAACCCGGACGTTGAACTCTGCAGATTGTGTCATGGTGGTGGTGATAATAACCATTGAATTGTCAATAAGTTATAGAGTTGCCTTGAAAAATAGATGTTTTTTACATTGGACCTTTGAGTGAGACCCTGACCTTTAGGGTTGTGTCTTGATAATTGTGCACTGCCAATGTAGTAATAATAGTGATTATTTCTGCCATGATATCTTTGAAACATGGCAGCAGTTTTTATAATATGGACAGACTCGAAATGTAGACTTTCTAACATTTGACCTGTGAGTGTGACCTTCATTTTGGGAAGCAACCAAATTATTACGCTCTGTACATTGTCTCATTATGGTGATCACTTGTGCCAAGTTATTTAAAAAAAATCAGCAGTTTAAAAGTTATGGAGCGGACACGAAATGTAGACTTTTATTATGAATTAAAGACACTTTAACATTTGACCTTTAAGTTTGACCTTGACCTTGGGGATAGAAACCCAATTTTTGCGCTCTGCACATCATCTCATTATGGTGATGATTTGTGCCAAGTTATTTCAAAACAATTTCATTGGTTTAAAAGTTATAGAGCGGACACGAGAGTGTTACGGACAGTCAGACGGACGGACGAAAAGGACAGACAACCAGACGGATGAGTGACAGACCGAGGCCATTCCTTTAATCCCCTTTCCGCTACATGGAAGGGGATAAATAATGCTTCTATCAGTTTCATTCAAACTACTTAATCATTTCATTGTTCTGAAGAAGCAAAAGATGGCTAAGCTATATGTGCTTTTCGTTTTGAGATTAAGAATGTCAAAAAAATCATAAATGAATAAATAGATAAATACATAAATAAATAGGGTTTTATAATTATTGAAGATCAGTCAGCACGGCATTAATGTTGTTATTGCATATTTGTGATGTTTTAAGTTTCTAGGTTGCATTTTTCTAGTTAGGTGGTTCTAGTATTCCTACCTGAATTATGTATAATCACCCATTGGATATGTTTATTTTAAAAATTTATCTCTTGACGTCTTGTCTTTGATTCGAAGACTTTCCTGATTTCCTTTAAAATTCAATATTGTTAGACCCGCCCAGTGTTTTCTCGTTTAGGGTACACGCATTCTTTTACTTTGGAAATATATGCCGTTTTTCATAGAAAACGAACGTGTCACAATAAAGGATCCACATCTGGAGATGCTTCTAAATTCAAATATAATCATTTTCATGTTTAAATGATGAATTCTGCTTAAGCAGATGCTAGTGGACGTGGACATTAGCTTGACAATACCAGTACCGTTCATAAACAGGCTCAAGCAACAGAGCTTTAAACATCTTAAATTAAGCCGTTCGGGCGTTCTCTATAGATTACATTTCTCTATTCTAATGGGTCTGAATTAACAACCTTTTGATAAAATAGAACCTTCCTATACAAGCTTAATTCATGGTAATTTCATATATTGTCACTGGAACTAATCGTGGCTAAGTTAAATATTCGTGTCCAATGTTTATTAAAGTTTTGTATAGCGTTGTTAAATTGCTGAAGCAATTGACATTATGGATATTACCCATTTTGAGCATTTCTATTTAATGTTTCTGTTACCATTAAGATAAAGTATTAAACAGATACATCAAACTGCAATATAATGTTGTGCATAATATATTTTCTTAATCTTTAACAAACATTCTGTTAGTTTTCGACCAAAGTTTTGTATTTCACATTTATTGTGGCATCTCATTAAATATTGTATTTTTAAAGGTTTTATAGTCCTTTAGATGAAATATCAAACTATTTGTTATATGTCCCTTTATAACAGTATTTTGACATTTTTATATAAGCTTTAAGTATCATTGTGCTCAGGCAAAAGTAGGTATTCATCAACAAGTGGTTGATTTAGATAAAATGTTCCACATATCAAATTTAAAATGACATAATCTCTTCTAGTACAAATACAGTTAAATAAATAAAATAAATATTAAGCAGATCATGAGTGGCAATTTTTGCCTTTTTAAAGAAATGTGTATGCTAATAAATATTTGTCAATGACTACTTAAGAGAAATGTATCAAGATTTTACTGATATAAATCAAGTTAAAAGGAAGTTTAAAGAGTACGAAACTTTCCATGAGACTTTAACAACACAAGTCCCATATATTATCATTTTTAAACCATCTTCACCTTAGTTTCAAAATAAAACATAAATTAACTGGAAGAAAAAAAAAGTGAAGTATAATTGTCGTACCAAAATATGGGTTGATATCAGAAGAAGCAACATGTCCTACATTTCACAGACATGACGTCAAAAGACAAATTTAAAAAGCAGGCAACATATCCTAAGGGTGGTTCAACATTATTCATGTAGGACCCAATAAGAAAAATGCCAAAAAGTAAAAACAAAAAGTACCACAAACACAACAGTCGTGTCGTACGAAACGATCTTAGAATCGGAAATAAAACAATTCTATTGTCCATTAATAGCACTGTTTCAAAATTTTATTTCTATATCAATTGCACTATAATTCGAATTACTATCCATTACACTTAGTCAGAAATTCTTTTTTGATACAATCTATACTGTTAACACTCCAATGGAATCATTACAAAAATACTTTCTATGACATCTCTAAAATTTATATCTCAATTTGATTATCTCATTCCTACAGAGTGTGGGCAACCGGACATAAATTATTGGGATGCTGGTTTCTTTAGCTACAATGGAACAAAATTTTACGCTGATTGTTCTTACTTCAAAACATACATTGGAACGCTTAAAATGACATGTGATAACGTAACAAAATCCTGGGTGACAGAAGGTGAATGTAAGGAATACAGTAAGTGATACAATAGTGTGCAATATATATTATGATGTGGTGCATAGTTTACATTTACAGCTAATCAATGTAAATACATAAACTAGACTAAGGGGTTACGGGACTTGGAACAACTTCCATCTCACTATTCAGATTCTTATCCCGCAATGGACTTTGGATGATTTCTAAATATGAGGAAGCCATGAAGGTCGATAGAGGGTCTTCTTGCACCACAAAAGCCGGGAATTTGCAAAAATGTATTTGTGACTTAAAACCAAACCAAATAAATAAATAAATAAATAAAAATGAAGTAAGACATATGGACAAGATAAGAATCAACTGTACAAATCATTGTCACAAAATTTCAATTTCATTTTCGTTGTTATCATTGATTATAATTGTGAGCTGTGCAGGAAATTGTGATATCATGAGACCATACCGAGGACAACGTAGTATAAAAAATGAGATGTTCTTATTCACTAAATAACTGTCCCTACATCTTTTTAAGAATTTCCTTTGGATATAATGGCTATTCGATTAACTGGTGGGACTAAGGCAAGTAATGGTCGAGTTGAACTTAAGGTAATGGACACATGGGGAACCGTTTGTGATAATTATTTCGGAAAAGAAGAAGCTGATGCAGTTTGTCGGATGATTGGTTATGCGTAAGTGTTTTCAACACACAATTATATAATGCAATAAAAATATACATATAAGCATAACAAATCTAAGCAAAACAAGTTCTCCTGTTTATTTTTGGACTGTGTAGATCCAAATGTTTATTGCTAAATCGTAATCTGTAGATTTTCAAAAAGTGGTTACTTAGTCAAACATATTAAGACATTGTGAAGAAACTAGTTTAATGTTCATAATGAGGTGAATGTCTTATAGATTATGAAAATAAAACAACAAGCATAAATATGTCATTTGGTCTTAAAGTAGCAGACTTTAATTGTAATGATCATCAATTTGTATTATATAGACCTGCATTTGAAGTTTATTCTGGAGCTTATTTTGGAGAAGGGAAAGGTCCGATCTTTATTGATGATCTCAATTGTCTTCCAACCGCTTCACATTTGAATAACTGTACATACGTTACCTATGATAATTGCGATCATTCCAATGATGTTTCGGTCGTTTGTACTGGTACGTTCTTTCCACCTCAATTTTGTAAGATTATTAATGTTAAGCAAAAACCACATCGCTATTGATTTTATTGTGCTATCTCAGTGATGGCTTTATGTTTACTTTTTCTTAATCGTAAAGTACTCATGTAACATTTCAATTCAAATTTCTTTAAAAAGTATTGTCATGATATTTGTCAAATAAAATAACACATACATTACTTACATTTGAAATATGTCTTCTCATCAGATTGTGGAGATCCAACACCAGTAAACGGGAACATCAATTCGTCTGAAACAAGCTATGGAACTGTTGTTAAAGTTTCTTGTAATGATGGGTATTTGCTTCTTGGAGATGCAGTAATAACTTGCCAGCTTAATAACAACTGGACCGATGTACCGTCTTGCACGTTAATAGGTATTTTGCATTTATGCTTCAAGACAACCCTAGATTCTCTTTTATCACGTAAATATGTTGTTATTTAGACTATATTGCTCGCCGAATTTAGAAAGTTTAGACGTTATCTTGCATGTTCAACTTTCTTGTATAAACGGGCTAACACATGGGACTTGAACATATTTTAAAGCTGTCGTGTCCCGGTTTAGTAAAAGTATTCTAAATATTAAACCTTTCAGCAGCGCTGTATTAAATTTTATTTCGGATGAATAGTTATACAAACCATTTTTTCTCATTTAAATACTGTGGAATGCCCTCCATCGTTAATGCAAAAGTCACACTCTCAGAGAACAAAACAACTTACGAGGAGATAGCTGTCATCAGCTGTAATATAGGCTACAGACCAGATGGTAGCACGCCTGTGACTTGTTTAGCAAATGGCACATGGGAGGCACATGGGAGGCATGGCCCCCGTGTAATATTATAGGTAAATGCCTTTTTTTACTATCTACATTAATATCAACCTGTTTTTAAAATTATGTCAAATTGTGTTAAAGACGTTTTATCTCCTTTTCAATATAAAAAAAGCCCGCCTTGTCTCAATAAATTACTTTGTTATCATTGATTTTCAGATTGTGGTGACCCAACACCTAATAACGGTAACAGAAATTCCACCGACACAATATACGACTCAGTAGTATTAATAACATGCGATCATGGATTAAACATCGCAGGAAATTCAACAATCATATGTCAAGCTGACGAGACTTGGAGTGATAACCCAGTTTGTAACGCTTCTGGTAAGAACAAAATGACCATGTTTATAAAAATCATTATTATTATACATTTAATCACATAAACTGCGGCGCAGGAGTGTAATAAAGCCATTTAATAAAATCGATATTACACTAGTGTAAGAACACTTTGACGTGACGTCATTTGTTCTATATATAAACATAGCGTTAAAGAGCGCTAATGTTAGCGTTACACTATAGGCGCGTCAATGAAAAATTACTCTTTTTAACAGTTTACCGTTCTTATTTTATATATGTGATAAAAACAATATTATATCCGTGTAGATTCAATACTAAATTTATCAAACTCGTTGAATAAAACAATATTTTGTTCGCCAGAGGCTCACATAATATGATTTTATCCGACTCGTTCAATAACTTTAGTATCAAACTACACTCATTCAGTATCCTCTATTTTTCGTGACTGATTCCAATGGTGATAGATTAGTTGTGTAAGAGTAAAACAAGAATGTTCTTTTTCAGCTTTAAAATTATGAACTATTTAAAGCGATGTACTAGAAGGCTTATGTCTTTTGTTCAGTTTACTTTGAAAAAGAGATATCCATTATAAACAAGAAAGATAACTTTAATTGCAAAACAATCGCTAAAAGAGTAGTTAATTGTTAACTTAAGAAATACTTCTGCTTTAGAACAGTTGAACACCAAATGGTATCCATTTGTTATGGCAATGATGCCCGTTTTAAACTATCGTACATAAATACCTGTAACTATATATAGAAACACAATCTAGGGTATTTGCAACATCTAGGTCATTTTGCAATTTAAGCCACTTTGCTACTAGGCATTATTTTTCATAATGGGTGAGTGAATTAGCCCACGTACAGAATGACGTTATCAACACTCAGTGACTTTCTAGATGGGTGCTGACGTTAAATGAACTGTGGTTACTTGCCAAAATTGTTTTAAAGTTTAAATGACAAAATTTTATTGATCACAATCAGCAAAGCTTCACATTGAAGATTTATAAACTCAAGACAATACATGACCCTCAGAAATTCTAAAAATGATTATAGATTGACGATAGGAAAAGGTCAGATCGTTCGCATATTCTAATCATCAGTCGCATAAACCGCCGTTGAACATAAAAACTGGCATTATGTCTAAATGTAATTATCACCAAAATGTAGAGTATTTATCGATAAAAACAACAATGAAACAACATTTTCTTATATCTATTTCGAGTTGTCTTGTTTTCATTTTCATTTGTTTACATTGACAACTGTCCGTTTCTTAGAAAGGGCGATAACAAAGATTATCGGCGATGTCTAAACGCCGTATTTCGGACATTGTCGCTTTTTGCACCCTCAGATATCAATGGTGTATAATAATATGAATTCGATTTTTTAATGCCGAAAGCCTGGTAAAAAAGAGATATATAGCAACATTTTTTGGATTTGACAAATATTTCAGATCGTTTTAGAAGCTAGTTAAATCCTGCTTAATACATAAAGAGGTTACTTTACACTACAGTTTATGCACAAACAATTCAATAATTCAAATTTTGACGATGTCGGCATTCTTTAGAGCTCATTTTTTGTTCTTCTTTTCACAAAACTTATCGCTAGTTGCGGCTTGTGTAGGCCGTAAGAGATCAACAAAAATTATGGTTATACTCCTTAAAGATTGTTCAACATAATTTCAATTTTGATTTTGTTTTCTACGTATACTACAAAAAATAGGAAAACGTATTTTTGTATGTCGCTTATTGATATAAGTATTAAGAAAAATGTAACAAATAACTGTTATTTATAATGAACATATTAAACAAATTACGATTATGTTGTTGCATTTGTGAATATAGCTGGACATTTTTATTTGCGGCGTCAATGTTTTTTATTAATTAACATTTTTTTTCTGTCTTCAGATTGTGGTTTATTGTCAGCACCAAATGGCAAAATAAATGCATCAGGTACAACAGTTGGATCTTCGGCTTATGTGACATGTAACGAAGGTTATACATTAGAAGGAGCATCCATGGTTGTCTGCACGTTAGAAGGATGGACTAGTAGAGTCTCCTGCCAAAAACAAGGTATATTATGAGTATTATTAAAGATAAAATCATAATCACTTTCAAGAAGCATTTATGTACATGTTAATATTCATGATTATATTAATATACTAATCATATTTGTTATCCAATCCATAACACTTTGATAGATTGTAGTGATCCAACACCAGACAATGGGGAAAAAGTTGATAACGGTGGAACTGAATTTGGCAGCAGTGCAACTATAGAATGTAACACTGGGTATGAAAGTATAGGAAATAACGTTATAACATGTGTCGACTGTATACATGTAGTTATAATTACATTTTATATTGTGGTTTGATTTTATGGTAATTACATAGATTACCTTTGATTATTTTGCATCTAAATAAAAGATTACAAATCCAAATAGGCTTGGGTTCACATATAGATTTATTATTAGTTCACTGTGTTATTATGATGATAAACAAATAAATATAAATAAGCAGTGTATCACTCTTAAAAATGTCTCAAACTGTTCCTGCACTCTGTTTCACATTACAGTAATCACAGTCAACTAGAGTAACTAGTTAACAAGTTCAGCACACTGAAATCATACAAAATGTCACTAAATGTCTATTCACTTAATGTCTCATCTTTGCAGGGTTTTCTCCCTCTAATTCACAATATATAATGTTAAAAACACATAAAATCATAATGATCAAAAGTTTACATATGATACTTATTATTAAGTGGTTCTAGTGGCTTATCTTAACCCTTAACAATAATATTAAGTTACATTAAAATATATTACAGTTACATTACATACATACAATAAATGGTCAGTTTAAAAGTTACAGCAATAACTTACACATAATACGCAATTATAATATATAATGATGACTAACAAATTTTTGAAATTGTATGCTCTCAACAAAAGCAAAACACATGAATCAAACCATCTCATTACTTTACTCCAATCAACACTTCATTCACACAGTGACTGGGTGCTGCAAATTATCAAATAAAGAATGCATATTATTATAATAAAAACAATGTGCATGGTGAAGTTAAAAAGGAATGCTATTTCTGAACCATCTCAATTCTTTACTCATTTCTAAATACATGAAAATAATGAATTTAATTCTCAAATAAATATACGCTGTTTACAGAAATACAGAAGTTATTGCCCAACAATAAACTTTAAAATATACCATAATACTTATTCCAAATCCTTAGAACACATAAAACAAATCATATGCACAATTATTCTCTATTGAAAATACTTCTCAACTCCCGCAAAAATCATCAAACTAAACACATTTGGAGGGAAATACAAAGCGATCATCTGATTGGTTAAAAATACAATTAAAAATAATAATCCAAGGGAAGTAACTGGAATCAACCCAACTGTATTTAAAGCACGAAAAGATGACCCTGTTACACACTTCCCCTCCTTGGAAAATGACGTCTCGTCATTCAATCAGGTCCGTCTTAGTCATAAGTCAATAACTGTGTCTCGTACAAAAATCAACTACATAACAATACATAGTTTATCTCTACTCCTTTCTACCCTATTTCAAGCCTTATGTTGCACCATACAACTGACACACAACTTTTACTGGTGGCTCTTATCCACAAGTAATAGCTTACTCCATATAACATTAAATCATTCTTTTATTTTGATTTTAGACCTGAATTGTACACATCATTTAATTTATTTAGTATTATTAAATGACTTAAAACTTTAAACTATTAAATTAATCATCAAATTTTACTTATTTAACAATTAATTTTGTGATTTAATTTAAAACTGGTTAAAAATACATTATTTTCTCCCCTCTCTCAAAATTGCAACCTTGCAATTCTATGTATTTTCAGAAATCATAAAACATAGACACATGTATGCCTTAAATAACGACATTTGATTTTTATTTGTACATTTCATTTCAATGCACAATTCGTATTTCGACATAACATTTCAAAATCGTTTTAATGATCGCCTCTACAGCTTTATGTTCAGAATCATTGAGTGATGTCACAAGTACGTTTAAATCATGAAGCTTAGTCATACGGTCTCAATGCCACCATCCGGTTCATTTGATAGGAGTCAAACAATTTTGGTTGTCTTCTCTCTCTTTTAGACTTTCTAGGAGTAGGTTTAGGCAGAAGGGTGTCCTCTCAGTTCCTTTCAGTTCCTTGTCTTTCTTCAGTTTCAATATGTGTATTCTGTTGATCATAGGCCTTTCTCAAATTATTTGCATACTTTACATTCCATCACCAGAGAGAGGCTAACAGGGCATGAATGTAAACAAATAATGTCTGACCTGATAAGCCAAAGTGTGTTCCCAAGTTTGTTAAACTTACCGGGGAAAATATCATTTTTATTGTTGTGTTCCACTCTGTTATACCAATTCTAAATATGATTATACGGTTAATTTTCATAAAATACGTAATGATGTGAGTTAAATAAAGAAAGGGATTGTGAAAATAAGATGGGATGAATGAGAACATTTTGAGGTAAAATTCCATTGTTCTTTTCTTTTTTAAACTAAGCTACTTTAGATGTATTACTACTTACATTAATTAATCTGATGTTTCATTGTTTTAAATGTTTCATTTAATTATTAACATATAATACAATGTCCTGTTTATAAATTTCATTTAAATATCACAGTTATGAATAATCTAAATCAATACCGTTTTTATACTGAAAAGCAATTATTACAGTTTATTTTGTATACCATTTCAGATCAATATATGACAAGACAATTTTGCTCGTTTTGAAGCAATTCACACAAAAAAGATGAACAATCATGGACACAAATTCATATATGTCTGAAGAGAATAGATGTACCCTCTTGGTTAGTTTAAACATATTTTATTTCGAACATTTTACACATACAAGATTTACATACACAATACAATGCTGAAAAAGGATCAGATCTGAAAGCATAAAATGCCTTTTCCTGACATAAGATTAATTACTTTAAATATGACAGGTTTTGAAAATGTTTGAAATATTGATGTTTAGATAGAAAAGTAATTGTAAATACTAGTTGATTACAAAATATGAAGAAGATTCCTTACTATCGTCACTTAGTCAAATTAGCGACCTACAAACAAGAAGGGACGTTGAGTAGAAGTTTCTATCTGAGAAATTTATGAATAGGGACTTAATAGATTAGACGCAATAATTGTCTGTTTATAAATATATAAAGTTTAGATTTCATAATTATAAGATACACACAGATTCTTACTTTAATAAGTAGAAGAAAAGAGGAAAAGTAGAAAAGTAGAAAAAACCCTCTTGGTTCAACTGAAGTAGTAATGAACAGACCAGTAAGATGAACACTAAAGAAGATTTTGCCAGATGAAAGGTAGATCTCAAGACTTTATTTTCATTTTTACACATAAATAAAGTTTAGCTACAGTAAAAAAACATAAAAGGTATTTGAATCGCCTTTAATTGTAATACCTCTTCATGGCAGTTGCAGAACAGATGAAAGAGAAACTATCAAACTATCAAACAGTTAAAAGAAGAATTACAGAAAACTGAGGAAGAAAATAAACAGTGATATTGAACTTTTGATACAAACACATTTTAAATGATAACAGTTGCATATCTTGTTTATAAAGGATCTTCAACATATGTATATTCATTACAGTTTTCAATGTTAAAAACATCAGCAAAAAACATTAAGAGCTTTTATTATGAAGCAGGCAAAACAAACAGCTTGACTGATAGAAATAGATAGATGTTGCAAGCTGACAAAATGTTTTTTAACATATTTTAAAGGACCATTTGTTTAGTATTTTTTGTCTTAATTCAAATAAAATAATTAAAAGGAAATCATCGCATTACTTTGTTTTTAACATTACTTTGTTAACATATGCTTTGTTACATATATGGTACAGCTGCAGGTTATTATGTCAACATGGTAATAACATTTAATATTTTGTCCTCTTATGCATTATATACTGTTGAGTGAATATTTCTTGGAATGTTAAAGAAGTGCTGAATCTAGATGCTGTCTTTCCTAATACCCTCCGACTGCAAGGTCCTGCACATGTTTTCTGCAAATGTTCAGTCCATGGAAAATGGAATGTCTGGGGTTGGCTAGTCCAGGCAACATCTTCTGGAAGTGCCGTGTACCCAAATGATTTGTTGTATATCAGCTAGTACAGGATTCAACAATATGACTACATTATCAAGTCGGACCAACTGGACAAGTGCAACAAGCTAATGATACCTCAGTTTCGTTTTAAGATTTTGACCGATATTTGTAATTAAATGATTGTAATTTGCTATATACTAAGTATTTAATACTGTAATTAATTAAAACAGTTGATAATATATAAGTTTTACATCCGTTACTTAGCATGAAATTTATTTTTCCATTGCTGTAAACAACATCATGTGTTAAGATATTGAAAATCTATTGAAAAGTTTAAGACAGGGTTGTGGTGTCATGTCTTAACAAAATTGTTATTTTGATTTGGTAAGCTGTCTGTAAAGTTAACCAGTTACTAGACAGTCATCCAGATTTTTTTATTTTTAAATACAAAGTGAATAAAACTTATGCTTTGTTTTTTTATTTCAATGGCTAAATTTAGGGGAAGTATGGTACAGAATTCAGCATCCAACTGTTTAGATCTATTATCAGTTAATTACTTTATACATTCTTGACCAACATGTGTTTAGGTAAGCAATAAAGTACTGATAACACAGATAATTACTGTATAAGTTGCAAAGAGTTAACCTGATATTTATACTTGACACGGAATATTAGAAATTACTTGGAATTATCATAAACATTAATTCACTTCACAGGTCTCGAATATACATGTACATCCTTCACTGTATATAGCGTAAAATAAACCTTGTTGTTGATTTATTTATCTCCAGAAGAGATTTTTGTAATGTTAAACATACAGCAAGTATGTAGTACTATCAGTACTATATTAAGATCTCTTAATCTTTCGGCCATATATTCGTGATATGTTTACATAGAGCAGATACTGGAGCTTGCCCTGTTAGCCTCGTTCTGAGAAACCTATGTATGAGGTAATATTAAGAAGGGTGTATTCGTTGTACTATGTTCATCATCTTGTGTATTTAGTTCCTCATTCTGTATATTTTGTTTATTCTTCACCTCTATCTCCTTTATTTCAGTATTTTCACTGTCATAAGAATCCACTATATGACTTGGTTCGGCAATGTCTATATCTGTATGTTCAATATTGTGGTCATTTGTATCCTTAAATTCCTCTGTTGTTTCCTCTATTTCAAGATGTAATGTTTCTGGTGGTTCTTCATCTGGTTCCTCCTCTGGTAAAGTGTCTGCTTCAACACTCGCCATACCTTCCTCAATATCTACTTCTATCTCCTCATCACTATGGTCTTCTTCTTGAGAGTCACTATCTTCATTTAAGTTGTTCTTTTGTTCCAGTTCTATAGTACTATTGTCATCACTGTTCTTCTTGGGATTATTATGGGCGTCCCCATTGCCGCATGTAAAAAATACATAACTGCTCCCAACCTCTGAATCTGTGTCTTCTGAATCCTCTGATTCATCTCTTGTGACGTCACCTTTACTTTTATCTTTTGTTTCGCTCTCTCCTTTATTTGGTCCTTCACTTCCTATTTTTGTGTCTTTGTTGGAAGACATCCTCTTCTTCGGTACCGGTCTGTATTCCTTATTATTAACATCTTTTACACTTTCAATTCCCATTTTCAACTCTTCTGAACCACTGATGTTGTTTTCTTGTACTGGATACAAATGATTCCTGTGTAATGTCTTTATAATACCAGTATGTTCTGACTTAACCTTGAACACTGGTATATCTGGTCTTGGCTGATCTATGACATCAAAAAGCTCTTCTTCAAATTTATCTGCGATCTTATGTTTACCATCATATTTCAATATTTTCACTAACACCTTGTCTCCCACTGAAATTGTTCCTGCTTTGGCTTTTCTATCAAAGTATTTCTTTTGTTTCTCCTTTGCTCTTTTTGTATGTTCTTCTACTATCTGCCTTGTTGTACTAATATAATTCTTGAGGTCATCTATATATTCTGTTGGTGTTTTTGATGTTGTTTCTTCTGTAGCTTGAGCAAACACTGAATCAATGGGTAATTTTGCTTTTCTGCCAAACATTAGTTCATATGGTGAGATCTTAGTAGTTTCATGTGGTGTGCTGTTGTAGGCATAGACTAAAGATGGTATATGTTTCTTCCAATCAGTTTTCTGAGATGTTTCTAAGGTGCCTAACATGTCTAGTAACGTTCGGTTAAATCGTTCACAGACTCCATTTCCCATTGGGTGATAGACTGAAGTTCTTGACTTTTTCATATTGGTGATGTTACAGAGTTCTTTCATGATTTCAGATTGGAAATTTGCTCCTTGATCAGAATGAATAGATGTCGGAATTCCATAATGAACTATAAAATTGTTGTAAAATGGAGACCATCTCAAGTGGATGTGTTGTTTCAATATTGATTAATGGTGCACGTGTGTTAGTGTTTGTTTTCATTCGGAGACATCTGTTTCACTTCGAAACCCAAATGTCGACATCAACATCATCGACATTCTTTGCCAATAAAACCTTTCACGAAGTGAAGCGAGAGTTCTTTCTCTACCCGGATGACCTTTGTTATCATGAAGTCCTGATAATACTAGTATATTATGTCTATAACACTTTGGTATAATTAATTGATTGATGTTGTGTTTCTCCACATGTTTGTATAAAATGCATCTTTTTCAGTGTAATTTGTCATAATTCCTTCTCATAATACGGTAGCTTTTTATAAATAACAGCACGACGCCATTTCTCTATCATTGGATCTTTGATTTCATCTGATTTCTCGAAATTCTATCTGTGCCATGGGTTGGCTGGATTTTCAGTTGCATCAATTATATCTATATTAGTTGGTAGAGTTTCAAAGTATGGCGATGGAATTATTCTACTGCATATTGTTTTATCACGTTATTTTCAAGTTTTATAATTTCCTTTCAATTATCTTGAACAATCTGTTAATATGGATATCGTTACATTCCAAGCGTCTGCATTATTAACTTCTGGTCTATACACTATGTCGAAATCAAACTCTCCTAAAGCTGAAGCCCATCGTTGACCTGTAGCATCCAGCTAAGCCGATGACAATACATGTGTAATAGGATTGTTATTTGTCACCCCTGTGAAGTTTTTCAATGCTAAGTAGTCAGCAAACTTTTCTGTAACAGCCCATTTAAGAGCTAGGAATTCAAGCATGAATGCAGAGTAATTTCTCTCTGATTTTGTAAGTGAGCGACTAGCGTAGGCGATAACTCTCTTGACATTATCTTGAATTTGATAAAGTACACTTTCAAGTGCTTTCGTCGATGCATCTGTGTGCAGCTCAAACGGTAACTCAAAATCGGGGTATGCAAGTATTGGTGGAGACGATAAAGTTATTTTAAATTGATAAAAAAATTCTTGTTCTTTATCTGTCCATATCCATTCTTTTGTAGTCTTTTTGGAATTCTTTGGTGAGGTTGGCGGAAGAAGTTAAGATAGTGGTCGTGTAATTTGTGAGAATCCTTTAATGAAACGACGGTAGTACGAGGCAAATGCTAGAAAAGATCGAAGTTCATCAGCATTCTTTGGAGTAGGCCAGTTTTTTTTATTTTCTCTATCTTGGTTGGATCAGCCTCATTGCCTTGTTCACTTACGACATGTCCCAAGAAGTTTACTTTCTGTTGAATAAAGAAGCACTTTTCCGGAGATAATTTGAGATTACATTCTTGAAGTTTATCTAGTACCAGTTCTAGATTTTGTAGATTTTCTTCGAAAGTTTTGCTGAAAATAATCAAATCATCCAGATATATAATACACACTTTCATATTTAAGTCTCCGAGACATTCTTCAATCAATCTTTGTTAAGTGGCTGGCGAATTCGAAAGTCCGAACGGCATTTTAACATATTTGAAAAATCTAAGTGATCCTACAGTAAAGGCTGTCCTCTCCTTGTGTGTTTCTTCTATTTCTTCTTGGTGATATCCTGCCTTTTGATCAATTGTACTGAAATATTTGCTTCCTTTTAAAACATCAAAAACTTCTTCAATCCGAGGTATTGCGTATGAATCCTTAACACTCTTGTTGTTTAACATTCTGTAATCTACACAGATTCTTAATTTCCCGTTTTTCTTTCCGACTAATTCTACATTAGAACACCATGGTACCCTTGATTTTCTTATAATTCCCGCTGCGAGTAATTGTTTCAGGTGGCTTCTTATTTCATCTGTCATCATTGTTGGAATTCTTCTGTGTCGTTGTTTGAAAGGTGTTTCGTCTAGTAAATCTATCCTATGTGTATTTTTATGACAATTAAAAAAAAATTATGAATTTTATTACAACTACCTATATCAGTATCGCCTGTAGAAAAATAGCTTTGTGTTTATTTAGGACATCTTTAATTTGTTGAGTTTCTTTTTGGTGTAAATCATTTATTATAGAATCATATCCTTCAATTTTATCAAATACGTCTTGATTAACTGACACAGATTGTAACTCACAGATAATTGCTCTTGGAGAAATAGTACAAGTGTTCATTGTCAGATTTGAAAAGTTGACTGTGAAAGACTTGTTTTTTCCAAGTTCATAATGTGTTACTGCTGGTGTAATGTCTAAGTAGGATGGTAAGCTACTGTCTTCACATTCTTGTATAAATGCTGTAGTCGGTTGAAATTCAAGTTCTTTATCAGTATAGCATGTAATATGAACAGATTCATTTGGCCTTATTGTAACCTTTCCTGACATTGCGCTTCTTAGTACAGCTAACCTATTTTTGTTTCGTTTTAATTCTCTTTCTCGAATAACCAAACATCTGAATGACAAGTACCATGTTGTGTGTAGATCTGCTTCTTGAAGAAATTTATCACCGAAGTTGCTCTGGCATTCTTAAAGTAAATCTTGCAGTATGTTTGAACCAATTATGACAGACGTTTTGTATGAATAATCAGTATCTGGTGTAACAAGAAATAAACAAAGTCGAGGTTAATTCTTTGGAAGTCCGCTGTTTTAATTCTGCTTCTATGTATCCTAAATATAATAAAATTTTTCCATCGGCACATGCTATATGAAAGTAATTCATTCAGTGATCTGATTTTCAATCTGTGAAAGATGTTCATCATAAAAATGATTTGCTGCCAAGACTAACTCAGCTTCCGCTATCTATGAGTGTTGTTGATGATACATTATTGATTGTAATCTGTGCTTTATTGATGTTTCTAACTAATAAGGGATCATGTTTGTTGGTGCCCATGTTAGATCCCACAACAGGAGCACTTATACTATTAGGCAGTTCCTTGCCAAGTGTCCAGCCTGATTGCAATTAAAACAGACTCTCTGTGAAGTGCAATATCTAGCTTTGTGTCCTCTACCATTACAGTTATGACACAAAGGTTGCATCGTGTTGGTACCAGTCGGTCTTCTTATATTGTTGTTGCCTCTACTGTAAGATGAACCTCGCCCTCTATAGCTGTTATATCTGTTGCCTCTATAATGTCTTGGTCCTCTATAAAATCCTCTATAATAATTTGTGTACTACCACTGTCTTGTTTCTGTTCAATGCTGTCAATTCTATCATTCATCTTCTTTAACTTCAGCGGGATCCGTCTTCACCAGGATAACCATCCAGGCAAATGCGTGATGTGGGCCGGGGCATATTGATTCTTACACCCGCCGTGTATCCAGTTTTTTTGGATCCATCACAAAATGCAGCATCGGAGCCCTTGGAAAGGGAATTGCATCGAAAACGAAACCAGATATATTCATTCACACAATCCGACCAATCAGAAACCGAATGACATTTACTTTCGGCAACAACGTCCATAGCAACACTTCCGGAACAGGAAAGGCCTAAATTAAATCCGAAGATAAGACAAACAACGGAAGGTCAGAAACAGCGCAAAATTGACGAACCGAAAGTCTCAAGATTTAAATTCTCAAAGAAACTTCATGTTCAAAAGACCCGAACACAATATAATATTTTATACTTGGAAAAGTACATAAGAACAAAATCCATCCTTAAATCATTCATACCAAAAGTACCAGTTATCAGCTCAACTTCACAATTACAGTGGGAAGAAGAACACATTGCCTTTGATACCCAGAATTATCCTATTCTATCCATGGCGTACTTAGAAGAGAGAATTCTTGCCACTCAACAAATAGAACCACTCATATGGTGCAGATATATTGATGACATTTTTACCATTTGGCCACATCGTTGTGAGGAATTGTATTCCTTCTTGGCCCACTTGAACGATTTTTACTCCTTTATCAAAATTACATATGAAATCGCCAGCCATGAAAGAAGCTCATTTTTTATGTTAAATATTTTAAGGATGTACATGGTAACCTCAATACTAGACTGTACATTAAAACTACTGATGCCAACATATATTTACATTAAAAAAGTGCATAACATAGAAATAGTAATACTTATGGTGACACAAAATAACAATTTATTTGTGTATTTGTATTTATGGAACTTTTCAATAATCAGAAAGCACTGGACTCTGTAAGACTATGATATTTTAACTTATTACACATGGACTTAACAACATTCTGGCACTGAGCCAAATCTTATTCTATTTTTAGATTTTTTGTTACTATTTTGGTCAGTCATGTGACTTACCATCCTACACAATCTTAATACTTCAGGCCCAAATTTCTGTCAAAATTTATCCTGATGAAGACCTCACGGTAGGTCGAAACCGGTAGATAATAAAACATCATAAACATCCCTGGTGTTGACGTGTAATTTTCTTCCTACTTATCCTTTCTTGATTCTTTAACTTCAGTCAATTCTGATGTTTCTTTTCTTTCAAAACTCACTGCAGTATTAGACTTTGTCTTTTCGTTTTCCGAACTTAGATCTGCTTCTATTTTTCTTAATTCAATCTTGAATCTGTCATAGTCTATTACGGCTTCGCATTTATATGCAGATAAATGTCTTATATATGGTCAAAGGCCTTGGTATAAAACTTGTTTAAGAATGTCCTCATCTGTTTTCTTTAAATCATTTAAATTGACTGCTTAATTGAATATTTCTTCTAGTCTAGATGAATAGCAGGTTACAGACTCATTTACTTTTTGTTGAATTTCCTCAAAATATTCTTTCTTGTTTCAATAGTGCCGAATGAACTGTCTAATTTCTGTATTACTTGATGAACATAAGCTCCTGTTCCCAATCTTCGCACTTTGTCGCTAGCGTTTATTTTAACTGCACGTCTAATTCCTAACAATATTTGTTCTTCAGAGAATACATTGTCTGCCAATAATGCCTGTATCTCAAATTTAAAAGTTTCCCATGTTGCGTCTCCTTTGTTGTCTTCACCATAAAAGCTCGATAATTTAGGAAAATGAACTGTTCCAGCTTTTTGGCATTACAAGTGGTGAAGGTATAGTTGCACTAGCAGATGCTGATGTTGCTGCTGGTGTTGATGAAGAGGTTTAAGTTAAACTTAAACTTTCAGTAGGTAGTGTCAAGGGTGAAGGTTTTTTCTTTGCTTCCTCCATTTCCGTCTCCGTAATCCTTCGTAAAAAAAAATCAAGTCTTCAGTAGACTCTATCTTTTGCGTGAATTTCAATGAATGAAATTTCGCAAGAATTTTCTTATCTTCTTCTCTCCGCCTAAAGCCTCTGCACCCAGGTTATTCTTTCTTGACTGATGGTTCACTCATATCGAATATAATAGATGTTCAGTTTCAAAGTCTGTATTTATTTAACTGACACTATTTCAACTTTTCAACTAATGAAGTAATGTTGATTTGTTTCAATTGAAGTCTTATTCACTAATATAAAGTTGACTCAGTTTGGCATCAACTTGCCTATAATGAATTTAGTTAATTATTTGTATAGCATTTTTCTTAATTAATCCAAAATTCAATCTGTAAAGGCCACTATTCACTAAAAGTTCCAAAAAACTTCAACAAAGAAATGGTTATGATCATTTAAATTCGATATTCACTAACTTCATTCTTCGCTCTTTCCAATTAAAATCTCTTTCCAAAGGTCTCTAATAATTCATTTCAACTTCTTTCAACTAATCATTAGTCGTCTCCTTTAACAATTACTACTTTCAGTAAATCGCTTTTACCTCCGACCTTTATTTCAATGTGTTTTCATTGCCAATTTTCCACCTCAAGTTCAAGTTTGCCAATCAAACACTATCTTTGACATCCTTCCTTTCTACAATTTTGTGAATTCCCAATTTTTCTATCTGTTTTCTATCTATTCACAAAGTTAATTCAGTTTGCCGTCATCTCACAAAGTCTTTAACTCCATCTCATATCAACATTCTATTTCCATAAATGAATTCCTCTATTCTTATTTCACTTCACAATGTAAATTCAATCAAAGTCACTTAATACAGTTTGCCGCTAACTCTCGTATTCACTTTAGCTATAATCTGTATTCACTTAATACAGTATGCCGTTGAATGTTTGTATATTCAAAATACAATTCTGTTACTTCCTTTGAATATATATTTAACACAGTATGTCACTATCTTGTGCATATAGTACTTAATTCAGTTTGCTTTTCACTCTACGCAATTCATTCACTCCACATTTAATTCAGTCTGGCGTTAACTTCAACATTCAAAGCTATCCAACTTTCCAATGTTCAAGTATTTAAGTTCAATTTACATGTATTGTACTCTCCAAACTCAAATTCCACAGTTACACCTTTATTGCACTAACTCTTTGATATAAATATTCACGCTTAATGTGCGGATGGTTTCAATTATCTTTATAATATCTTCCTTTATCAGTGCAACAAAGTATTCCGTACATGAAGCAATTCCTTTAAATTATCCACTTAATTCACTTTTGCGTTAACTTCACTTAGTTCACTTTTGCGTTAGTTCATTCACAATTGAACTATTTTCACAAACACCTCTTCAAATCCTTAATCAGTGTATATCCTGATTAAATACATCACTCATGTAGATTTAAGTAAAGTCAACTTCAATATTTCACTTTGTACTTTCAGATAAGTTACTTTTGCACTAACTTTCACTAATCACTTTCCCTTCCGTTATTCAATTCAATTCACAATTTCAAATTCAATTTCCTTTCACTTCAGCTATAACGTTGTTCACTTTCAGTGTGATTCACATATTTCATTCCAGTTCATTTGTTTTAGGTCAAAGTATTTTATTCAACCAAATTTCAGTTTACGTTTGTATGATCATACAATGAAAACGCTTTTGAAAAGTTTTTGGCTATATAAAATTACAAATTCTATAATAGCAATCAAAAACTATCATCACGAATAAGTGTACGCGAATAAGTAGCTACTTTCGCTAACGAAACGTTATTTATTTAACATTATATAAATGTAAGTATTTAAGAATTATCCACAAAATCATTTTTGCAAACAATTCAGTATAAAATTATTTCACTTAACAGGGAGTACCTATATATTTTATTTCTTGATTTATATTTATTTATATCTGTTAAATAAATACTTTCTTTTAAGTATTAATTTTACATTAATTCATTATTTATTTTTAAAACTTACTTGTCAATTTATTTGTCCTTCACTTAGTTTTGTATACAATTTATCTCAAAGTGTCACAATTGTCAGTGCACACACAAGCCTGATAATGTATATACTATCCTAATTATAGACTACACCTGTACTAAAATTGTTACTAAACTATAACGTCATGTGATTCAGTCACATATCAGTCAGGTAGTCAATGACGTCATGGAAATTCCAATATCAGTAGAACCAATTATCTTATAGTATAGATTTTGGGAAAATACTTTTCATTGACCTTTTAATGAAAATAATCACACATGTAAATGGCAGGAAAAAATAAACAATAAACAGACAATTTAAGGCCACCTTTATGGTTGGAAATGAATAGACAAATGAAAATATTATTCCTCTAGAAATTAACTAGGACAACAAGAACCAATATTTCTTTTAATAATTGATCACGAAGAAAAGTAAATAACTTCTGTTATTTTGCACCAGTTCAATGCAACAACAGGTCAAAATCTAGGTCAATGTTTGTTTACATTTTTGATAAAAACTTACAGACTTGAGATGGTTCTTAAATAGCCTTTTTGTGTTAAATATTAACTATATTTGGAGTTAAGGCTATGAGGCGGTGCTAGGATATACAGACAGTAGAACTTTGGTGAAATAGATTACTATTACCAATTAATTTAAGCATGCAAAAGTGAACCTCACTCGGACTTACATATGCATTTCAAACCACATAGAAATGATTGTCAGGAATTGCAGCAATTATTTACACTGAATAACTAAGTGATTTAATTAATATGTATATTCACTGTGGATAACTGCAATTTCTGAACCAGTTTACAATTTCTTTTTACTTACATTTTTTTACTTACAACGAAGTTGATACAAGCCACTAGACCACACCTTTATAAACCACACATAATTCATGCACCAATAACTGTCAGATACACTGTTGGTTCCTGTGTAGACTGTCTACACAAGTGAAAATGTTCCTCCTCTGATGTTCAGTTGAAATTACTTCCCTCTAAAAACAGCAAGGTGTAAAGTAGATCTATCTCATACATATATGTTGATGACACTGTCA